CAACAACCAGAAAATATCAATAAAGAGATAGAGATTATGAAAAGGAATGAAACATAAATTGTGAAGCTGGAAAGTATAATAACTAAAATGAAAAATTCACTAAAGGGTTACAACAGCAGATCTGAGCAGGCAATATGTATGAACCTCAGAAAAAAAAAAAATGCTAAGGAAGCCAGACACCAAAAGTCACATATTGTATGATTCCATTTATGTGAAATGTCCAAAATTCAGGAAGCAGATTGATGGTTGACAAGGACTATGGGATAAGGAGAACAGAGAATGACTGTTTAACAGGTATGAGATTTACTTTTGGGGTGATGAAGATTTTTGCAGTTGGTGCTTGCACAACATTGTCAGTGTACTAAATGCCACTGGATTGTATACTTTAAAATGGTTAATTTTAAGTTATGTGAATTTCATCATAATTTTTTAAAAAGAAAAAAATGTGTTAACCATGCAGAAACATTAAAATATTCACACTGTCCTACAGTTATACACAAGCATAAAAAAAAACAGTAAATATAACAGAAAAATATCAGCATGACTGCATACAGGATATGTAATGTTTGAAAAAGTCTTGCTTTAGTTATATGTATTTATGCATTTATTAGCTACAATATAAAACATATTTCTTATTGTGGGTTGCAAAAAAATCAAAAGGTACTGAAAATAAACTCTTCCTATTATAGCCTTTTAATTGTCCTTCTGTGGCAGCCATGAAGTGTGAAATTCTGATCTCCATTCATGAAAAAGTGCCACTGCTCTATGAGGAGTGCAGTTAGCTAACAGCTTCCAACTGCATTGCCTTCAGGATCTGTTAAAGCCTTTGACTTCAAAAAATTGACAGTTACATGCTAGAGAAAAAAACTGGGTCATTATCTTACCCATAAAATCAAGTCAAAAATTAATTCAAAATTATAAAAATTAACTCAAAATGGGTTAAAGACTTGAACGTAAAACTTGAAACTATAAAACCCCTAGAAGGAAACATAGGTGGTTAGCTCATTGACATCAGTCTTGCTGCTGATTTTTTGGATTTGACACCAAAAGCAAAGGCAACAAAAGCAAAAATAAATAAGGGAGACTACATCAAACTAAAAAGCTTCTGCACAGCAAAGGAAACCATCAACAAAATGAAAAAGCAACCTACAGAATGGGCAAAAATATTTGCAAATCATATATCTCATAAGGGATTAATACCCAAAATATATGAAGAACTCATAAAACTCAATAGCAAAGTAAAACAAAATAAAACCCCACAATCTGATTAAAAAATGGCAGAGGAACTGAATAGACATTTTTCCAAAGAAGACAAAGAAATGGCCAACAGGTACATGAAAAGACATTCAACATCACTAATCATCAGGGAAATATAAATCAAGACCACAATGAGATATCACCTCACATCTGTTAGAATGGTTATCATCAAAAAGACAAGAGATAACAAGTGTTGGCAAGGATGTGGAGAAAGGGGAATACTTGTATACTGTTATTAGGATTGTAAACTGGCACAGTCACTTAAAAAAAAATAGTACAGAGATTGCTCCAAAAATTAAAATAGAGCTACTATATGATCCAGGATGCTACTGTTGGATATATATCTGAAGGAAAGGCGATCACTATCTCAAAGAGATACATGCACGCCCATGTTCACTGCAGTATTATTAACAATAGCCAAACATGGAAACAACCACCGAGGGTGAATGGATAAAGAAGATGTGATTGATATATATATATCACAGATGAAGTATATATATATATACATATATATGTATATATATATACACACACACAATATAATATTATTCAGCCATAAAAAAGAAGAAAATCCTGCCATTTGCAACAACATAGATGGACCTTGAGGGCATTATGTTTAGTGAAATAAGTCAGACAGAGAAAGACAAAAACTATATGATTTTACTTTTATGTGAAATCTAAAAACAAAATAAAATCAAACTCACAGATACAGAGAACAGATTGCATTTGCCAGAGGCAGGGGTGGGGAGAGGTAAAATGGGTGAAGGTGGTCGAAAGGTACAAACTTCCAGTTACAAAATAAGTAAGTCTGAGGATGTAATGTACAGCATGGTGACTATAGTTAATAATACTTACTGTATATTTGAAAGCTGCTAACAGAGTAGATCTTAAAAGTTCTCATGACAAGAAAAAAATTTTAACTGTGTACTGATGGATATTAACTAGACATATTGTGATTATTTTGTAATATATGCATATATCAAATCATTATGTCATACACCTGACACTAATATAATGTTATACAATTACATCTCAATCTCCAAAAATTTAATTAAAAAATGTGTTTTTTTAAAGATTTTATTTTTGAGTAATCTCTACACCCAATGTGGGGCTTACACTCACAATCCTAAGATCAAGAGTCACAAGCTCTACTGACTGAGCCAGCCAGGCTCCCCTAAAAAAAAAGTTTTTTTAAGCCTTTGAGTCAAGGCCATCTTCTTCCCAGGCAGCCTCCACCATTATGGATTCCAGGATCTGCTCATTTCTGCCCACTCTAGGACACCTCTGATGGGTTACCCCAAGTCTCCCTGTTGGGTTAGCCAACACTTTGTCAAATCTGCATTGCAATTTTAGGCTCCCTCTGCCCGATTCAGCTTCCTTTCCCCCGTTTCTTCCACAAATGTCAGATATATAGCAAAATCTGAAGATTTATCAGGCCCAATCCTTCTTCCTCTCCTTAACCTTCACAGGCTTTATCTCCCAATAAATCTCTGGTACTCCTAACTCTATCTTACCAACAGCTTCTTTCAGGATCTAACCTGATATATCTTTATAGCACTTACTACAATTTGTAGTATGTTTATATGTTTGTAGTATTGTCTCTATTACACAGCAATCTCTGGCAGCTTTTTCTACTGAAGGGTTCCCCCCACACACACACAGCCTGGGTAACCTCCCTTTTGACTGCATCCTCATTCGTCCTCCAGGCCCAGACACAGCAGTAGTGATTGTATAGTTGCACCTTACATAAGGGAAACACAACTGAGAGTGAAAAGAATCTAAAATCCTGTTTCAGGGTTTACCACTGTAGGATTTCTCAACCCTTGGCATTATTGACATTTTTGATTGGATAATTTTTTGTAGTGGAGGGGCTGTCCTGCACATTGTAGGATGTTTAGCAGCATTCCTGTCCTCTACTCACTAGATGCCAGTGGCATCCCTCTCACTCGTGGTATTTATGATTTAAACGTCTCCAAACATTGCCAAATGCCCCGCCAGGGCTGGGGGGTGGGGGTACAAATCACCCTTGCTCGAGAGCTTTCGGCCTTGAAGAAAGAGCATCTTTTTTCTAATTCTCCCCAAAATGCAAAATGCTATATGGTCAATTAGTACCCTGCTGGAACTTACCATTGTCCTGGGAATATTCCTCCAGGCTAAGCAGACCCAAATGCCTTGGCAGCAGCTCCCACACAGTGTGAGGCTACCATTCCCTTCCTCCTATGTCTGTCCTTTGGACCCTAAGTGGGTCTGCATGTGTTCCCATGAGTAACAGACTTAAACCTGGACAGATTATCACAAATGGCTGACTGAACCTTAAAGGAAGGCCCATCCAGGGCAGTTATGTTGATGTCCCAATGGACAAATGAAGTGTCCCTTTGCTTGTATGGCTTCTCATCATAGTTGGTTATCCACAAACTGTTTCCTCCAGTTTTGTTTGGAAAATCATTAGTCATCCTTATATCAATAGCTGTTGCTGTTCACCCTGGAGCATGCTATATACTAGTTATTTTTCACATGAAAAGTGATTATTTAAAAAATAAAAGTTTATATTTCTGAGTGTCTCAGAAATAGACTTTCACACACTGAAAGTGTGAGCCATGGCCATCTCCACAACAGGCATAGAGACCTCTCATATTTCTATCTCAGATGCTTTGGAATATGAATGCCTATCTCCTCAAATCTCTCTCACACAATGTGCATTTCATACGCTTTCATACATGTCACTTAGCAGATATCTTAAGTCTAGCTTTTCCCAAAAATCTGGTGCAAATTCATGTCCAGCCATTTTCTCATTATGCTGCACAGACAGAAACTTCATTTTATTTATGTAGATTTGCTTTCCTCTCCTCACCTCAACTGTTTTCTTCTCCTTACTTGCATTTATTTGCATATTTTAGATTTATATTTCGAACTCTGAATATTCGACGTGCACAAGATTTAGTGAAAACAGGATTTAGACGAGGGGATTGCAAAAGTCACTTTGAACAATTAATCCATTACAACCAGTTCAGTCCAGTGTTAACGGAAAAATGCGAGATATATGGTTCTAGGATGCTGCGGAATTTTCCTGGGTGAGGAATACAATGAACTCTCCTGTCCCATGCTGACTTGTTGGGGAGGGGGAGGGAGTTAATGGAGAGAAGATGCTGGATCAGAGCTAGAAGGGGTTTAGAACTGAAAACATTTGTTACTCCTCTGGCTCCTCCTTCTCCGCCCCCAAGACTGAAACATGGCGCCCTATGCAATGCTTCCAGCCAGCGAATGCGTCTTGCCAAGGCGCTAAGGTGAAGGATGCACCATAATCCGCGGTGGTTAGAGTAGAGCATCACTGGCAGGGCTCAGTCTCAGTGCACTGTCACAAACTGCTTTGCAACAGAGTCGTCAAGATTAAAGCTTTTGGGATTCGATAAAATCAGGTTCAGAAAACATCACACTTCTTGGGGAAACAGCTCAAATTAAACATCCCATTGCAAGTATAACTTTGCATTGTCTATTATACTCTCAAGAACAAAACGTTCCTTCTCATTCTCAAATGAGACGGCCATAGAAAACTAAAAGCTCTTTCAAACGTACTCGGAAAGCTGTTTCTTCAGACCGGTAAGCAACAGATACCACCACCAGCTAGCAAACCCGTAGGGGAGGAGGGTAGCTGAGAAAGGCCAAATTTAAAAAACCGCGGTAGCGCAGGAGAGCGCAAAGGACATCTGACGTAATCCTTCCTGCCGCAGAGCATAACGGGAGGAGCGGCGAAACCCGTTAGGGGCGCGCGCCCTCTGAAAACAAAACGAATTCTGCAGAAGACTAGAGCGGCGCTTTCGGTACTCTTGGCAGCTTGGGGTACCCTCCTTTTGTGGAAACAGCTCATTGTCCGCGCGGTAGGGGCCACCCCGTTTTCTCGAGTCGCACGGTGACGCAGTTCCTGAGCGCGCCAACAGGGGCTGGCTGGAGGGCGGGCTCTTCAAATTTGAATTCCGAAACTGTTGTGGGTGTCAGGGAACCTCGCGGAGGAAGTGAGGGTCACCTGAGGCCGGGCTGCGGCGGGCTGGAGCTGACTTGGGCCAGAGGCGCGAGCCTTGACCCCACGCGAAGCCAATCCCGGACTGCCGCCTTCTAGCTCTTTCAGGCCCTTCACCCAAGGTATGAACTTCCCCGGTCCCCTCGTCTCCTGCCATCGGTCCCCTCTGGCGCTGAAAGTCCCAGCCCCACAGCGTTTTCGGCCCGCGTGGGCTTTTGTACGTTTTTGGCATTGGTAGGGGTCTCAAAACTGCTCATTCGTAGTGTACATAGTTGTTGCGTGTCTACTATCGTTCAGATTCGTTTCGACGGTGAACGCTCTAGGCCTTTGTTCTAAAATCACTTATAGTAAAAAACTTTTACGTTAGAGTGATTTGTGTGCATCACTGCCCTTGGACCCCATGGTCCACGGTGCTATAGAACAATTGATCCATCGAGCTCATTTCTTCTGGTTAAATTACACATTGGTTGCAAACATAGGTAGATGTTAATAAAATTATTTAGAAAATGGAGGGCCCCTTCCTCCCACTCTTAAAAGTTAAACACTGTTCACAATTTGGTACACTTCCAGATTTTTTCCCCGTGCTTATGCTCATGTGTTTTACAGCAATGCAATTGTACGTCTTCTATTCCTTCATTTTTTATTTAATATATCCTAGCTATTTTCTATGTCAGTACATATTCAGGAATATATCTTTTTATTGAATACATAATATTCAATTGTATGGATGTAGCAGAATTTCGTCCCATAGTGGTGGAGATCTAAATTGTTTATAATTTGTCCAGTACTTCAGTGAACTGTATAGTGCTTGTTTAAGGACTCAGGCCTTCAAGTCAGACTTAGGTCCCGCTCTTAATCATTGTCAGTGGGACCTTGGGCAGGTTATTTAACTACCTGTGCCTTAGTTTCCCCATCTTCAAAACTCTCCAGAATTGCTGTAAGGTTATGTAGTGTCTGATGTACATGCAGTAAATATTGACCGTTAGCATCACTTACAGATTTGCATTCTTAATGTAGTTTCTGTAAGAAAAAAATTTAGAAGTGGAATTTCGTAGTCGATAGCATGCACACCTATATTTTGAAATTAATCTTTTCCAATCTGATAAAGAAGACCCACTGTTTTAATTTGCATTTCTTCGCTTATTAGTAAAATGAAGTGTCATTTGACTCACTGAGTGGCTTTTTGTATTCTTTATTAATTGCCTTTCATGCCTTCTGGCCATTTTCTGTGCTGATCATTTTTTTAAATTGATTCACTTGGTCACTTTGATTGTTATTTATAGTAATTGAGTTGAATCAATTCTTTTGTATGTCAAGTGCTGGGGTTTTTTGTTTGTTTCCCCCCAAGTGTATCATTTGCCAATTAACTTAAAATTCTCTCATTTTTTCCCATCTCCACCTCCCAGTTTTGGTTAGTATGCTTTGGAATTTTTTACCCTTTCCATTATAATTATAATAATTATTATTATTATTATTATTATTACTGCTACCACTATAGTAAATTCCGAGAAGAACTTTTCATGTAATTTTGGGAAGAAGAGTAACAGTTATATTTAGAATCATATCCATGATAAAAACAGTTGTTTAGCCTTACCTATATATTTACATACACTATAAAGTGCTCATAGCTAGCTTTTTCATGTAATGGTTTTCTCACGCCTGAGTCTTTATTTTAAATAAATAGCAATTTTTTAAAAAGATTTATTTATTTTGAGAGAGTGAGAATGAGAGAGAGAGAGTACATGAGAGGGGGGAGGGTTAGAGGAAGAAGCAGCCTCCTCGCTGAGCAGGGAGCCCGATGTGGGACTCTATCCCGGGACTCCAGGATCATGACCTGAGCCGAAGGCAGTCGCTTAACCGACTGAGCCACCCAGGCGCCCCAGCAATTTTTTTCTTAGTACATCAGCATTTGTCAGTTTTCAGAATAAATGGCAACAATTAGATTTTCCAAATAGTTTTAAGCAGTTAGTGAAGCACAAGCATACCATTTTAGAATTCACCTTCTCTTCTCTAGTCCAAGAAGGAACTAACAATTACTTGTTAGTGACCTCCATTTGTTAGGTTAAGCCTTTGCTTGGCCTTCAGGATACTCTTTTCCTCAACCTGAGGAATACCTGTTACTGAATCCCCATCCTGTAACATCTGTCTCTTCCATCAGAGTCTGAGCATCATGTTTTCTTTGTTTTACTCTTCTGTTAACTAGGAGGAGAATGGGGCTTTAAGAGTTTGGCCTTTACCTGGTGATTTCCTGTTTTGCTTCTGTATCTATTCTGCAAAGCCTCTATGGTCAAAATCCTAGGTAATTTTTTTTTTCCTCTACATCCTCTCTTCCACCAACCACACTGAAACCACAGACAACTATTGCCAACTCTTTTAGTGTCTGTTGAGTTGCTATTCATCACATAGTAGGAAGGAGGGGCTCCTAGGAATCTTCTGTGTCTTTTTTTGGAGGGGGTGGAATTTGAGGTTTTCCAGAATCTTGACTACTCACCTCCATCCTACTACATGTTTGAATTGGGAGGGAAGAGGTTGGGCAACATGAAGGAGGAGTTATATGCTGGTTCTTCGAGCCTTTCAGTGGGTCCATAATTATCTGCCTTTAGATGAAAACAGTAATGTTTGTCTACTACAGATTGGGCCTGTTTTCAGTTCGACTAGTTTATTTGCATTTTATACTTACTGTTGAGCATTTCATTAGGTTGTGAGGAATTGAGATTATGTGAACCTGTACATACTTTGCCAATTTTTAATGTGCAGTTGTCCCAATTTATTCATTTTTTATTTTGAGAGTTTAAAGTGAACCACTAATGAGTATTTTAACTCTCAGCACAGGATTCCTATCACTAGCACATTGCCAAACACATAAATCTATGCATTATTAGTATATATTTACTGAATTAACATTCTGTGGAAGAATTCAGTAGTTTTTGTGTCACAGGACTAGATTGCCAAGATAGCCTTCTTTGTCAGCTCTTGTTATTGAGGAATAATTCCTCTTTTTCTCTTATAAACTATTGGATAAAATGCTATTTGTGTCTGAATTTTTAACTTGCATACTTCTCACACAAGTTACTTAAAGATACTTGATTTTCTGTGGTACACTTTTTGTTTATATGATGTCATATACTGATTAGAATACTTATAAATTCAGCAATAGAGGTGCAGTAAGTTGAAACTAGTAAGTTCCAAGCTCCTTAGGTGGAAATGTTTTATTTATTTATCAAGTATTACAAAACACAACTATATGGTTCATCACCTAGAATCTTCATTTATAGGTGTGGGAAATAAAATATATTTATAAAAACAAGCTAAAACAAGTCTAAGACCATGTATGCTCAAATACATGATTTCCTCTAAAAATTCTAAATAGCATTAATTTTTTAAAAAATCATAATGAGTATAGTTTACTTTTGATTTGAGAGTTTTTCAACCAAAACCTCATAGTTAAAATGTTCAGCAGCATAACAAAATCAGGATTGGGAATTATTTAACTAAAAACTTGAGTGAATCTTTAGCTTTCATTAGGATGTATCATCATAGCGGCTGCCTTAAAATTTAAGTGCCTAAAAGGAAAAGCGATGTTTGTGAAATTTAATCTTTTATAGTCTAATATAGTGCCATATGCAGATTTAATGCTTTTTGATGCAGATATTGGATTGGAACCTCCAGGACTTGAGGTTCAAGTATGTTTAAAAATCAGATACTCAAAGTTCAATTTTTATAGTTACTAAGTAGATGATTTGGTGAATACTGCTTTTTTCTAGAGAAGTAAATTTAAAGACCAAACTGTTCATCTAAAATAATAAAATGAGTCTTTAACAAAAATATAAAGCCTTAGATTTGTGAGCTATAGATTATCCAGTGTTGTTATGAACCAGTTAAGCCTTTTAATTAGAATAATATTGTTATGGAAAGCAAATAAACTTTTTTGCACCAAAGCATGATAAAGGTTGATTTCACATTGAATTACAGGTTCCTCTGGGCCCCTGCTGAAGGTCTGCTATCCTGAATATTGTGTTTAAGTGAATTATCTGTTAGAGAAAATTTGTTTCTACTGTTTATCAAGATGATTGCAACACCTTTGAAACATCCAGGAATTTATTTGTCTTCAGAGACATCTTCTCAAAGAAGAAATACGCCCATGCATGCAATCTTTTTTGACAGCATTCCTGCAGGCACGCTTACTCCTGTAAAAGATTTGGCAAAATATCACAACCCCTCGTTAACGTTGAATGACCATAAAAAGAATCATTTTCGAGAAGTGACAAATTTTAATAATAAAAATATATTTCATTCCACCATGCTAGCAGAGGCTACCACCTCTAACAGCTCTCTTGATATCAGTGCTATAAAGCCCAATAAGGATAGATTAAAAAATAAAGCAAACTATGAATCACCAGGAAAAATATTTCAAAGAATGAAAGAAAAAGTACTGCGTGACAAGCAAGAACAAGCATCAGGAAACTGTAGTTTGTTGGAACCACCAAAAAGTGAAAACAAAATTTTCACTCCTAAAGGAGCTGAGAAAAGAGTATTGCAGCATACCTACGTCTGCGAAGAAAAGGAAAATAACAGATCATCCCAATCAGATAACAATTCACCAAGAGGTTAGTTTTATTATGTGTTGATTGAAAAGCTATGATGTGTTGTGTTTATTGTGTCTGATACTGTTTTAGGTACTCAGGATACAAGAGTGAACAAAATGGACAAAAGTCCCAATCCTTGTGTAAGTAGCTCATATTTAGGTGGTGGGAGAGACAGGTTTAAATAGTTTTTATAGTACAATAGAAGAGAAGTGCTACGGAAAGAAAAGACAGAGTGAGGATGATGGGGAGAGTTGAGTGGGCTGCAGTTTTCCATGTGGTGGTCAGGATAGGGTTCAATGAGAAGATGGCATGTGAGCCAAAAAATTAAAGGAGGTGATAGATACAGATAGAATATTGGAAGAATTGGGAAGGATGATGCAGACAAACTAATAGCTGATACAAATACCCTGGAATAGGAGCATTTCTCAAAAATTCAAGAACCAGCTATGAGATTAGTGTATCATAGAGTGAGTGGACAGAAGTGGGGAGGAGGGGACAGATACAGATAATGTAGAGCCTTATAGGTGAATGTAAGAGTTTGGGCTTTTACGTGAGCAAATAACTCAGTGGAGGGTTCTGAGCAGAGAAATGTGAAGGTCTGACATATTTTAAAAATACCACTTGCTGTCAATTTGAAATAGTGCATTTATCTAGGTGAGATAAGGTGTTGGTTTGGTTTAGTGGTAGCAGTAAAAATAATAAGTGGTTGGATTCTGGGTGTATTTTGAAGGAAGAGCTCATAGACTGGGTGTGGAATGTAAAAGATACAAAGGTTTGGAATGTAAAGATATAAAAAGTTATATAAAGAAAGTAAATAAAATCTTTTTAAAAAGATATAAAAGGTATATATCTTTTATATATCTTTTATAAAGATATAAAAAATGTAAAACCACCTCTAGGGTGTTTTTGTTTGTTTGGTTCTGGGTTTTTTTGCTTGAGTAGCTGTAAGGATGGAGTAATTTAACTAAAATGGGATAGACAGGGCGGGGAGGTGCCCAGTAATTAAGTTTTTTGTATGTTAATTTTGATATATCTATTAAAAATTGAAGTGTAGATATGATTAGCCTGTTGAAAAAAATTAGTTGGGATTTAGGGAAGTGATCCAGGTGAGAAAAATACATTTGGGAATCATTAGCACTTAAGTGGTATTTGAAGAGATTAAGTGAGATCATCAAGGAGTAAGTGTAGAAAGAGAAAACATTCAAGGATGAGTCCTGAGGCATCCCAAAATTTAGAAGTTAAGAATAAATAAATGAACCACAAGAAGATTAGAAGGAGGAAGAAAAACCGGAAGTGATACTTTGGAAGCCAAAAGAACAAAATGTTTTTTTTTTTAAGATTTTATTTATTTATTTGACAGAGAGAGACACAATGAGAGAGGGAACACAAGCAGGGGGAGTGGGAGAGGGGGAAGCAGGCTTCCTGCCGAGCAGGGAGCCCGATGCGGGGCTTGATCCCAGGACCCTGGGATCATGACCTGAGCCGCAGGCAGATGCTTAACGACTGAGCCTGCCAGGTGCCCCAGAACAAAATGCTTTAAGGAAGGAGTCTTTCACTGTATCTAATGCTGCTATCAGTCAAGTGAGGTGAAGGCTGAGATTTAACCATTGGATTTAGCAACATGAGGGTCATTGGTGGCTTTGATGGGGGGATTTGGTGGAGTGATAGGATCAAAAACATGATTCAAAGGGTTCAAGAGAGAATGTGAAGGAGAGAAATTGACAGTGGTAAGTATCGACAACTCTTTGAAGAGAGGAAAGAAATATGGAAAGTATGGTTTTAAAATAGTTTTGGGGTGGCTGGCTGTAGAGTGTGCAAGTCTCAGTCTCAGGGCTGTTGAGTTCAAGCCCCATGTTGGGCCTAAAGCCTACTTAAATATATACATATATATATTTAATATACATATATGTATACTTTATTGTTTTTAATGTATGGTGGAAGAACATTTTTGTCTGCTATTGGGGCTGATCCAGTCGGGAAGGAAAAACTAAAATTGGTAGTATGATACCCTTGAGTATTTGAGAGGGAACAGAATCTGAAAGTGAAAGTTTTGGCCTTAGCTAGGAACATAAACATCATAAATCAAACAAGAAGATAGGCAGTGTTATATGATTTAAGAAATAATCTGAAGTGGACAATAAAGTCATCAGCTGAAAGTGAGCATGAGAAACTGGTATTAAAGTTTGAGGAGGTGGAGGTTTAAATAATACAGGAGAGTGGAAGAGTAAATGGTCTATGCCTAAATTTGATTTCTTGTGCAACATTAAGGACCTACTTGAGACTTGTGAGCATGAACTTAAATGAGAGCAGTCAATGTGGTTTTGAGTTTTCCTTTAGCCCTGCATAGGTGCTGCTGGGGAATAGGCAGGGAGTTGGATTTTATCAAGATTGTAATTTTTTCAACTACAATGAAGAGGACAAAGCAGATGAGGTGTGTGTATAAGGGGACCATGAAATTTAAGTTAGTTATACAGAGAAAAGAGGACCTGAGGGAGATGAAGAAGTGTGAAGTGTTAGATGGTGTTAGGATAGTCTTTGGATTTGAGAGAATGATCTGGAAAGGTAGAATGATCAGAATTTGGGACATTTGAAGTAGAGATTTTAATGAGTTGCAGTAATTGATAAACATATTTTACATGCACTATCTCCTAATCCTTTCAGCAGACACTATGGGTAGATGCTCATTTAATAGTCTAGGAAATGGGGCTTACAAAGAGGTTATGTCTGCTCCACATCTCACAGGTAATAAGTGATGTGCTGAGAATTAATATAGGTACTTATTTGAAAGCCCATGGCTTTAATACACAATAGACTGTGGATATATTGTTGCATTTCAAAGACAGTGATATATTTTGATACAAAAAGCAGAGTATCTAAGGGAGTTTAGGATGGAGGTAGGGGAGTACACAAAATCTATGTTTCATACAGTCTGGGAGATAAGGGAGAAGCAAATAATGCACATTAAAGCATGTCTTATTTGTCAAGTGGAATTAGAGAGGAGGAAATAACTCACTGCTTTGAGAACCCGATGACTCTTTTCCCAGAAAATGCACAAATTTTGTATGTAATTTCAGAGACCTTTTGGAGAATCTGCCTGGACTTTGTACTCTAAGATAAATGACCTAGATTCTATAGTATGTTATATCTGATTGAATTACCTACTTGTCTTTACTGCATTGCCATGCCATTTCTAGTAGAATTAGTTAAAGAAATAGAATTTTACCCTTCTTTTATGATACACATCATTATAATAAAATCTTTATATTAAGATTTCTAAAGCTAGGGACGCCTGGGTGGCTCAGTCGGTTAAGCGTCTGCCTTCGGCTGAGGTCATGATCCCAGGGTCCTGGGATCGAGTCCCACATCGGGCTGCTTGCTGAGCAAGGAGCCTGCTTCTCCCTCTGCCTGCCTCTGTCTCTCTCTCTCTCTGATAAATAAATAAAATCTTTAAAAAAAAAAGATTTCTAAAGCTAAAGCTGCATATTTACTAAAGCGTAATCACTACCAATTTTTGTCAGAATATTTGAAATTAAACATAAAATAATTCAGTTTTTCTTCCAATTTTAAGTCTGTTACCTTCCCCCTTTTTGTGAAAGAAACATTTCTACCTTCAAGAAATGAAACTTAACCACCTAGGTTATAAAGTAGAATAAAATGTAAGCAGTACTATTAGTCCCTACTTGTCTAGTAGATAAGCCTACCAGATTTTTGTCTTTGAAGATCTACTAAAGAGATGTTAAAGGCATATAAATTATGGTTGTGTCTGCTATTGAGTCACAACATTGCAGCTTTTAACATACAAGCTACACCTCTTCAGCTGTTCTTTCATGTTTTAGAAATTTACAACAACCAGAAGCGGAAGCAGAATTTTCAAGACTGGATGGCACTTCATATATAATCTTAAGATATACCTCTCTGATTTGTGGTAGCACCAGAATTTTATTCCAGATCACTAAGCTTCTAAGTCCAGTAATAAACTTTTGTCTAGAGCTGGCAAGTTATAACATGTAGAGTTTTTAAAAAATTCTTTCCCAGCATACTGTAGATACAGAGAATGTGATGAAAGCATGAGAAGATAAAAAGGGAAATGTAACTCATATCTTACAGAAGTATACTATATTGATCTGATCATTTTTGAATGTAAGTAAAAGACATTTTTTTCTTCTCAGTGACTAATACAATTCAATTTCCTCTTTCTTTAAAAAAAAACAAAACAAAACTCAACCTCAGTGCAAGAAGTTCCTCTAGAATCATCAAATAGTACTTTCCTTCTGATAAAGCAGAAGATTCAGTGTCAGCAGGAAAAGAAAGCATCTCTGCATAATTTAACTTATGGTAAAGTGCTTTTTGTTTTGATGAATGTATAGTTGAATGTTCTAGATAATTATTCTCCCTATGTAGGCATCCCTTTCAGAGAAAGACTGAGCAGAAGGGTGAAGCATTCCTAACCTGAACACTTCTTTTTAATATAAACAGTTTGATATCATTCTATTTCCATCTTTTAATTTCATATGATTCTTCTATAAATTCTTCTATAAATGTTTGGTCTTGTATTTTTTGCAGAGGCTCCATTTCTGAACCAAGAACATGAAAATGTTTCAGCTGCAGGATTCTCCAACAAGACATTACCTAGAGCTCAGTTGACTAAACAAATTCTTCACTCAAGGGAGAATACATTTGTAACCACGAAGTCTAAAAAGGACACCTTTGTTTTAGAAGGCGTTGATTCTGTTATTGAAAAATCCCAAAATACTGCTGTTGACACTCTCAATACTAACTGTGTTCCTGTTAAAAATGATGGTCAGTCAATGGTTTCTGATAGTAAGATGACAACAGAAAGGACTTCACAACAGGAAATTAATGAGAACACAATGCCCAGAGAGACTGATCTTCTGGGTTCCATGAATGATACATGTAAAATTGTGCTTGCAACTCCAAGATTTCATATAACAATACCTCGGAAATCAAAAAGAAATGCTTCAAATCATTCTCCTCCAAATACACTTCAAACTCTTACAGATGGAGTTAAAAATAATAAGGTAGGACAACTTAAGGCAAATTTACATTTATGTTTTTACCCTCTTGTTCTTTAAGAACTGAGCTCTTAAGCTGTCATTAACAGTAGCTTCATTTTTTTGTTTTATTATTTAGTGTAGAGGCATTGTGGCCTAGTGAAGAGAGCATTGGGTTGAAAGTAAGAGAATCCAAGTGTTAAGTCTTAACCTTGCTTTATTACTAGTTGTATAATCTTCAACAATTTACTTACTCCCTTTGGAGATGAACACTGCGTTCATTTCTGTTCTTAATTTTTTTTTTTTTTCTGATTCTTGGAGTACTATTAACAGCAATTAAAAGAGAAAGGGATTACACCTTCTGAAGACTTGAGAATTTTTCCTATTGTAAAATAATACAGAGTGATCAATAAAACACTTTAGGCTATCACACTATGTTACATTAGGATAAATTCTCTGAAGTGGAATGGAATACAAGTTCAAGGAGAAAGATAGAATGTAAAATTTCCAATTGTTAAAGGTTTGTCCATAAATTTTTAAAAGGATGATAGTGGTATTTAAATTCCATCTAAATTTGAGGGGTGCCTGGCTGCCTCAGTAAAGCATGCAACTCTTGATCTTAGGGTTGTAAGTTCAAGCCCCACGTTGGAAGTGTGATGTAACAGTTATAGTTTTGGTTTTGTTCGGTTTTTTTTTTAAAGATTTACTTTTAGAGAGTGCATGAGGGGTGGGGTGGTTTGCAGACAGAGAAGGAGAGGATCCTCAAGCCGACTCCTTCCTGAGTGTGGAGCCCAATGTGGAGCTCAATCCCAAGACCCCTAGATCATGACCTAAGCTGAAATCAAGAGTCAGACAACCAGATGAGCCACCCAGGCACCCCACAACAGTTACAGTTTTATATCTCAATGTATTCTTTGGAAATTGCATTATTTGCGAATAGTTAGACTTAACAATGAAAATTTTTAGATGTTGCTTTAAGAATGTGTGAGGTGAGTTGGGCAAAAAGGTTTGAAGACAACTGTAATGGGAGATCCCACAGTACGAATTCTGTCATTGCCACAGTGCTGTTTATCTTACTACAAAAAGATCAAGCCTCCCAAGACTCTTATCTATATACAGTTCTGTACATCCCCTAGTTCTGACCCAATCTCTCTCTCATCTCCAAACATTGCATTGTACCCTCTTGAACTCAAGGTGTATCATCAGCAAAATGTTAAATTCTCAATTTTCTGTGTACATTTCTTAACCTTGCCCTAACCAAAATATGGCTTCTTTTCTTAAATGGTGGCTCTTTTTTCTCCCATATCCCACAATGTTGAACCTAAAGAGGATATAATGTATCTCTTTTGTTTCTCATTATTATTTCAGGCCATTGTCCTTCTCTTTAATACAACCCCTCCCCCTCTCCTCAGCTTCTTTGAAATAAGTGCTATAAGACTTTATCACTCCCTGTTCCTTCTTGTAGTCCTATATAATACAACCTGCTAGTCAAGACCTTGCATTACTATTAAAGCATTTAACACCTGTTACTTTTTCTTCTGCTACTATTTCTGTCATCAATTCTGGTGACACTAACATCCATATAGATGATCCATCCAGCCTCCTTGAATTTTGATCTTTTTTTTTTTTTAAAGATTTTATATTTATTTATTTGACAGAGACATAAGGAGAGAGGGAACACAGGCAGGGGGAGTGGGAGAGGGAGAAGCAGGCTTCCTGCTGAGCAGGGAGCCCGATGTGGGACTCGATCCCAGGACCCTGGGATCATGACCTGAGCTGAAGGCAGATGCTTAATGACTGAGCCACCCAGGTGCCCCTGAATTCTTGATCTTAAATGACCTTTCCCTTACCATTACCCTCTACCCTAGTCATACTCATACCTTGTCTTTGCGAGTACATGTACCACATTCTCACTTTCAAGCATCCTGCTCTCACCAGCTCCTGCCTTTCCAGATCATTCTACCCCTAGCATCAGTACTCCACCTTACTAAGGCACCCTTTAGTCCATCAATGCTCTCCTGTCCTCATTTCCCTCTTTACCTTACAGATTCCATGGTCCCATCATTATAACATTCCCTTGATTTAAATCTCAGGTCTCTTGCTTTTCCCTTCTGTTCTCTCTCTCTCTTTTTTTTTAAAGATTTTATTTATTTATTTGAGAGAGAGAGAGAGAGCATGAGAGGGGAGAGGGTCAGAGGGAGAAGCAGACTCCCCGCTGAGCAGGGAGCCCGATGCGGGACTTGATCCTGGGACTCAGGGATCATGACCTGAGCCGAAGGCAGTCGCTTAACCAACTGAGCCACCCAGGCGCCCCTCCCTCTGTTCTCTTTTGACCAAGTTGTGGTCCTAGTTAAATTTCACTCATATACCTAAGAAGCAACAGGCAGGGGTACCTGGGTGGTGCAGTTGGCTGAGCATCCAACTCTGTTTCGGCTCAGGTCTTGATCTCAAGGTTGTGAGATTGAGCCCCATGTCGGGCTCTGTGCTCAGCACAGAGTCTGCCTAAGACTCTCCCTCTGCCTCTCCCCCCTCCTCTTTCTCTAAAATAAATCCTAAAAAAAAAGGCAACAGGTGGCTGGAACAAAATGCACAACCACACTAGTCTCATTTTAAATTTGAGAGCAAACCTTAAGTGGGCTCTCAGTATTGAACATCAGTCCTGCTACACTTCACTTGTTAATCCATTTGACTTTCCTAGAATAATATTTCGTGCTTTTTCTCTTAAAACTTCCAAATCTCCTCTCTCTTCCTCATTCTCAATTTATTGAAACTCATATTCCCATTATAAAATCCACCAATCTACTTGCTGCTCTCTCCACATATTCTGCTTCCCCTTCTCTTGTAATGGATGAACAATTTGTGCTCCCCTTTCAAGGCCAGTTCATTTCCTCCTACCACCTAAAGAACTTTGTCTCTCTAATTATATATACCCTCAGGTGTTTCCTGTCTTCTGGAAAATTCCCGTTAGCATTTAAATGTGCTGAAACGTGGCCTGCATTTAAAAAAAAGTGCAAAGAAAAAATCCACCTTCCTATTACTCCCTATCCTGTTCCATCTATCACCCCATTTTTTTTTTTGTTTTGTTTCCATTTACTGTGAAACACCTTGAAAGAGGTATATGTATTCACAGTTTTTGTTTCTTCTTATTCCCTCTTAAATATGTTCTACTTTGGACATTCATAAATCACTCCATGAAGATTGCCCTTTTCAGGTTCACCAGTGATCTCTGTATCACCAAACCCAATAATTATTATTTCTCATTATTCTGTTGCTCACAAGGGTTTAACACAGTGAATCAAAATATCCTTCTGAAAACATTGTATTGCTTTTTATTTTGAATTCCATGGTATCTTACTCTTGATTTTCTACTATCTCACTGGCCATTCTTCTCATTCCCCTTTGCTGCTTCCTCTCAAGACTGTATTATCCAGTGCTGTAGCTTTAAATTCCATTTATTCCATTTCTCTACAGGTAGTTCTCAAATATATATCTCCAGTCCAGAACATTCTCCTAAACCCCACACTCACATATTCAATTGTTTATAGGGCTTCTCCATTGATATCTAATAGGCATCTCAGATTTAGTATGTCCAAAACTAAACTCTTGATTTCTTCCCCCAAAACTTCTCTCTATTGTGTCCCATATTGGTACATAGTAATACCACTTCCCCAAATACTTAGATAAAAATTTTAGATTCACTTGAGACTCTTGTTTTCCTATCATACTCCACATCCAAACTGTGAGGAAATCCTGTTGGCTCTACTGTCCTGAATCTGGCCACTTCTCATTATTCAGCCACTACCTCTTAGTCCAGGACACCATAATCTCTTGGGTTACTACAATAGCCTAATGGTCTCCTTGCTCCCCCTGTTGCCTCTCTCTCCTTCATTCTGTTTTTCAAACAGAAGCCAGAATCATCATCATCATCAAAATCTTTTTTTTTTTAAGAGTCTATTTGTTTACCCTAGAGGAAAAGAAAGAGTGTGCACGAGCAGGGGGAGAGGGAGAGAGAGGCTTTAAGCAGACTCCTTGCTGAGCACATGGCCCTACACAGGGCTCGATCCCGTGACCCTGAGATCATGACCTGAGCTGAAATGAAGAGTCTTGACATTTAACCAACTGAGCCTCCCAGGTGCCCTGTTAGAATCTTTATATAGTCCAATTTCTACCCAGTAACCCCTTAAAATATTAAATCATGTCACTACTCTGCTCAAAATCCTCTATTAACTTTTTTTTTTAAAGATTTTATTTATTTATTTGAGAGAGAGAAAGAGAGCGTACATGAGAGGGGGGAGGGTCAGAGGGAAAAGCAGACTCCCTGCCAAGCAGGGAGCCCAATGCGGGACTCAATCCAGGGACTCCAGGATCATGACCTGAGCTGAAGGCAGTCACTTAACCAACTGAGCCACCCAGGCACCCATCTCTAGTAACTTTTTATCTCAAGAGAAAACCTTAAGCCTTTACCATAGTTTACAGGACTCTACATAATTCAGTCCTTGACATGCCTAACCTCATCTCTTACTCCCCTCTCTTGCTCTCTTGCTTATTCCTTTCGAGCTACTGTGGTCTCTGTGCTAACTACTTGGGGACTTTGTACCCGTTCCCTTTGCCTGGAAGAATCTATTCCCAGGTAACCCATATGTCTTATCCCTCACTTTATTCAGTTCTCTGTTCCAAGACCTTCTCTGTCATGTCTAAGTAAGCATGTCTTGTTCTTATTTTTGATAATAATCACTGCCAGACATTATTTGTCCATTTGTTTGGATATAACCACCACCACCCCACTTGCTTCTACACATCCACCCCCCAGCCCCCGTGAGTGCACATTAGCATACACACACATGAATGTTTGCTCTTAATAGGGCAGCCATTTTGTTTCTTGCCAAATCCCACTGCCTAAAACAGTGCCTGGCATATAGTAGAGGTCAGAAATATTTTGTTGAATGAATATGAATGAACATTTTGATATTTTATGTAAGCAGGTTGGTACAAGATTCTGGAGCCAGAATTCCCAGATTTGTAACCAATCTGTGCCCCTAACTAGCTGTGTGTGACCTGGGCAAGTTACTTAACTTGACTTTACACTTTCTTTATCTACAAAATGAATAAAATATTACCTGCCTCCTAGTGTTATGAGGATAACATGAGTCATTGAATCTAAGATGCTTGGAACACCGCCTAGTACTATTTTTTATTTTTAATGTCGTCTCCATCTGACTGTTCCTTGATCTGTCTTAGATAATTACAAGTGTGGAAGTATTAAAAATAAAAAAGGAATTTCATTGCCTGTTCATAATTGAGGAAAAATATAAAATAAAAAATAAACATAATTGAAGAGAAGTGCAATAACTAGGAGCACCTTCTATTTTAGCATCTTTTTCTGGCTCAGCATAAAACTACCACTGAAGAATTTGTCTTTACAAATTTATAATTTTTTGTATGTAAAGTAAATGGCTACTCAAATTAGTTATTTTATGACTTTTGCTGAATTTCTCATCAGAAATAGTTCAGTGTTAAGTTGTTAGTAGAAGCAATTTCTAACACAGACATTCACAGAAATTTTCCTCTACAATAAGATTTTGTCCTAAAATAAATTCTCTGAGCTGTTTAGATATCTGCTCTGGAATAGAATGCTGTTAAATACAGATTATTAGCAATCACCTTTGTAGTTAAAGAAAATTAAATGCGACTCCAAATCAACTTTGCAAAAAAAAAAATGCTATATTTTTTAGGGATAAGAATGATGGTGAAGTGTATACTACACAACTGACTCTCTTATCTAAGTTAGCTCTTTAGTCTTTAATGAATACCTTAGAATTTTCGGTGATTTTTTTTTTCTCCAGTGGTTGAGATATTTGATATTAAGAATATTTGATGTAGAACTGATTCTGGATTGGAGAAAAAAATTATGCAGTACAACCTCCATTCAATCTCCCTCTTTTCTGTTTTATTGTATACAAGAGTTTCTACCTTATTACTATTTAAAATAGAATGTGATTCTTATATAGATGAGCACTAAGTATATGAGTTTTTTTCTTTTAATTTGATGTAAATTGATTTTGTAATGTTTTTGCTACAAGTAACATAGGAAATATATACTTCATTTTATGCTGATTAGGTGATCCAGCTACAGGAATGGATGATTAAAATCATTAATAATAATACTGCTATATGTGTAGAAGGAAAATTGACGTAAGTATAACGTTTCCGTATTCTAATAAAATTTATAAGTGTATAAGAGCTAAAAGGAGATGCATCTTCTTATAAAACACTTTGTAACAAGGTTACAAACTAAAGCCAGAAAAGTAAAAGGACTGTGCAGAAGCTGGCCAAGTTGATTGTAACCAGATTTCTTGTTTTCACCTGTTAATTTCCTTTTAGAATAGTAAGAACTCAAATTTGTATACACAATGCTTTATTTTTTTCAGAGGTTCTAATAAGTGGACTGGTGTTCTCTGCTTAATTATATATGGGTAGTTAATATTTACTACATGCATTTCAGTCCAGATTCTCACATCTAAATTGGGACAACCAGATCTAAATTACTGATCCAGAAAAGGAATCAAAATTATTTAAAACTTTGCCATACAGCTACATATTAAGTAATCATTGGCACTCTCTGGTTCTCCCTAAAGCAAAAGCATTATCAGGTAAGTGGGCTTTGCCTAATTTTGCTACTCTATTAGCAACATTGTCTCTTTTTCAAAACCAATTTCTTAGGGGTTAAAAAAATTTGTAATAAAAGGTTGTAATAATATATCACTGTTCAGGGTACTCACCTAGAAGTTTATAAGTTGCTTATTTAAAATCTGTCTTGCCCATTCTATTTCTGCTTGTCTTGGGCCAATTTCCTTAGTATCAAAGAGGTGGTCTTTGTTGCCTTTGTTGGAATCCCACTGCTGCTGCCTTACTAGCTGTATAACATGGGCAAGTTATTATCCTTTTTCAGTCTCAGTTTCTGCACAATGGTAATAATTTTACCTATTCTTTGGGTTATTTTGAATATTAAAGTTAATATTTGTAAGACTTGAGAACAGTGCTTTTGGAGTGCTATTTATTTAACTTCTGTATCTTGCCTATTTTTTTTTGTGGGGGGGGACTTTTTTTTTTATGTTAATCACCATACATTACATCATTAGTTTTTGATGTAGTGTTCCATGATTCATTGTTTGAGTATAACACCCAGTGCTCCATTCAGTACGTGCCCTCTTTAATACCCATCACCAGGTGAACACATCCCCCCAACCCCTTCCCCTCTAGAACCCTCAGTTTGTTTCTCAGAGTCCATAGTCTCTCATGGTTTGTCTCCCCCTCCGATTTCGCCCCCTTCATTTTTCCCTTCCTGCTATCTTTTTTTTTTAACATATCATGTATTATTTGTTTCAGAGGTTATTTAAATGTTAGTTAAGTAAAATAAAACAAAAAAGCACAAGATCACTGTATTAAAATATGTATGAGTTAAACTCATTTGACTAAATGAAAGGAACTTAACTGTCATATTACACTTATAATTAGTGTGATTATTACTAGTTATATGATGAATTGGGAATGTTCAGTGTTTAATACATCTTTATATTCTTTCTATTTTATATTCCTAGCTTCTTTTAAGTAAATATGAAGAGTAGATTTATGGGTTAGTGATTTGATCTTGCAGTTTGTCTTTTTCCCAGTTGGAACCTCTTTTGGGTACTTTTCAAAGAGGAAGGAAAAATACTTGGATGGGTAGTGAGGGTAAAAAAAAAAACCCTGCAAGATTAGAGGAATCTAAACTATTTACCTGCATGAAAGCTAACACAGTATAGGCCCTGAGGAGGGGACAGGAAAACATTCTTCGGAAACTTGGCATCAGTTAAGATGAAGTTGCAAGCATTGTCTGCACCAGTTATTTAGAGAAGGCCCCTGCTTCCTTGCTAATGATAAATTTTATGTTAGTGATTTGGTTTGGCCACAGTACAGTTTCTTGGTACATACTCTGAGGATCACATTAGCCAGGCAGTTGAGTTCTGCTACAATGTTTGGCCCTCAGATGTTTTGTAATTAAATGAATAATACTGCTAATGTAGCTGGAGTGCGAATTTATTACTTTCTATTAAGAGTTTGTATACTTATATATGTACATTGTGATTACTGGTAAAATGTGAATACTTTGGCCTTTAATTTTCTCCTAGAGATATCCCTAACATATATTGGCACAGTAATGTCATTATAGAACGGATTAAGCACAACAAACTTAGGACTTTATCAGGAAATATTTATATATTAAAAGGGATGATAGACCGGATTTCCATGAAGGAAGCAGGTAATGACTGTCATTATTATAAATTACTTTAAATGAAGCAGTTAACCATATTTCTAAGTGATATCTATTTTTTGTTCTTAATTAGGTGTTTTAAAATTATGAATCAATCAAAACAAAAAAATTAAAACAGAATTGACCACATTATGTAAAACTGTTATATGTGTTGACTATTTTTCTCTGATTTAATCACCCTTATTGACAGTTTAAATAAGTCCAGTGATTTTTAAAAATTCAAGTGAGATGTTGTTTTGTGAGGAATTGCTTTATAAGGTTATAGGTTTATAAGGTTATTACTCTCTAGTTTGTTGAACCTGCCCAGCACAACCCCAGTCCTGTATTATTCTAATTTTCTGCCTATGCCTTGTGCACAGTAATGTGGCTGAAGAAGAATATACCTGATTATTTTACTTTAAGTTTGTGATTACCAGCAACAAGTTGTTGTCTCTTGGTACCACTTGGCATCCTACCGCATTTCCCTGTTGCATTCACTCTCCCATCCTCCTTGATAACTACTGCGCATTTTTACAAATTTTCAATACCTCCTTTTCTCCTCTCACAGGAGAGGTGCTTGGGGAGGGAGGGGAGCACTTGAGCAATAGAAACAATTAGAAGAGAACTTCACCATCACATCTACTAAGCTGCTTGCGTCTGTATCTGCTTTTGTTCTGAACTGTCCATGTTCCTGTGTGAGCCTATCCATTTGTACCCTACTTTCCATTTTCCCTCTTTCACTCAAGGATATCACTCCGGTAATTCTCCCTTATCCTGTCAAAACAGTTTTAAACCCTTTTAACCCCACTTATTTCAGCTACTGTTTACAGCAAAAACTGCTCAGAAGATTCTAATTCCTTGAATTCTTCCCCATTTTTAAAAAATTCTCTTTAGTCATACCTTAAATTGCAATTCTTTACCAAACAGTCCTTATTAGAGTTACCAGGGGCCCCCACATTGCTAAATCTAGTATATGCTTATTGCAGTTAGTCCTACTTACCTCCTTGAAATACTTCTTTATTTGCCTTCTGGAACACCGTATTCAGATTTTCATGCTGTTTTACTCTCTATTCCTTCTTAGTTTATTTGCTTATTTTGCTCTTTCTTCTTTGCCTCTAAGTAATGGGGTAGACTGTGTCTCTTTATATACACTCAGTGATGTGCTGATTTCTTTTAGACTTTAACTTTCATTTATATGGTGACAAACGCTGGATTTCTATCTCTTACCAAAAAAACTCCTCAAGCCACTCAATTCATTTTCCATCTGCCCATTTGACATCTCCACTAGGATGTCAGCAGGCATCTCAAATTTGATATGTCTAAAACCTGGTCTTCTCCCTGAAATCTGCTTAGGTCGATCCCCCCTCTTTCCTTATTTCCAGTGGCTAGCCAGGATCCTTGGAGGCATCTTGAATCTTCAGTCTCTCTCACACCCACACTTAGTGGGTCAGTACATCCTATCGGCATTATCTCCATAATTTATCGGGAAGCCAGGCCTCTGCTGGCCTCTGCGGTCCAGACCTCCCTTATCTTTCCTCTGAACCATTGCAGAATCCTAACTGGTCTCATTATTTCTTCACTTGTATTTCTATAGACTTCTCAAAATAGCAGCTAGTACAGTCCCGTTAAAGTAAGTCAAATCCTGTGGCTCCCTTGCTCAGGGTCTTTCTATAGCTTCCCATCTCACCCGAAGTAAAAGACTGGGTCCATAAAATGACTCCAGAGCCTTACCATCTTCCGTGTTCCCCTACTGCCTCTATTCCCTTCTGAGTAGTTTCCTAGTACCAGCTTCTTTCACTCCACTCCAACTATACTAATTTTTACATCAGGCCAGGCATACTCTTCTTACCTCACAGCCTTTTATTTCGTTCCCTCTGCTTCTAGTGTTTTAATCCCTTATTGCCACATGGCTCTCTCCCTCATGTCCTTCAAAGCTTTACTCAAATAATGCTATTTCAGTGAGAACCTCTCTGACTGTCCTTTTTAAAAATGCTGCCTGCACCCCTCTTCCTTCCCCAGCATAAATACACTAGTATCCCTCTGCCCATTGACTGCATAATTTTTCTCCATAGCATTGATGACCATCTAACAAACAAGATGTTTATTTATTGGTTTGCTTTCTCTTTCACACTAAAAGGCAAGTTCCATGAAGGCAGGAATTTTTGTTCTGTTAACTCCTGAATCCTTAATATCTGTGGCAGTGCTTGGCACAAAGTGAGCAATAAGTATATATTTTTTCAATGATCTAATGAATCAATGACATGTCTTTAAAATTCTCAGCTTTTAGATAATTTTTGTTTGTTTATTGCTAAATAGGATATCCAAACTGTCTCATAAGGAAGTTTATGTTTGGCTTTCCAGACAAATGGAAAGAGCATATTGATAATTTTCTGGAACAATTAAGGTAAAGTACTTCTTAACTTTTAAAAAAGTAACTTTATTAAGGTATAATTTACATTTGATAAAATGCTGCACCCATTTTACATATAAAATTTGAGGGGCTTTTATAAAAATATCTGTCCATGTAACCAATGTAAATTGGTTTTAATTTCTTTTTGGTGGGGTGGGGAATGCTAGTTTTGAAGTTCTCTCTGGTTTTGGATTTTTATTTAGTTATTTATTTTTAAGATTTTATTTTATTTATTCATGAGAGACAGAGAGCGAGAGAAGCAGAGGGAGAAGCAGGCTCCCAAGGAGCAGGGAGCCCGATGTGGGACTCGATCCCAGGACCCTGGGATCATGACCTGAGCTGAAGGCAGATGCTTAACCATCTGAGCCACCCAGGCGCCCTCTGGTTTTGGATTCTTAGAAAGCAGTAATACTTTACTAGAACTTCAGCAGTAATACTTTACTAGAACTTCTGTCATATGGAATAAATCTAAAAGGAAAATAACACTGTTGACATTTCAGGGAGCATCCTCATTCAGCCACCCCTTAAGAGGCATGTTGCTGTTAAACATGAGTGTAAAGTTCTTGATCTTTTTTCTTTCATTCATTTCTTCAGTAGTTATTATCAGTTGCTTAGCAGACACTGTGCTGGCACAGGGAAAGCAAAGAAAATTTGATTAATTCTTGCCATTAAAGGAACTCATAGAGGATACAGTGATATAAGTTAATCACAGTATAATTGTATAACTTATAATGCAGGGAGGGGGTGGTCTGGTAAAGAGCCAGATAGGAAGTGTTTTTATGGGCATACTGCCTCTATCAACTGTTCAACTCTGCCTTTGTAACGGAAGAGCAACCATAGACAGTACTTAAATGAATGAATGCGGCGGTGTTTCAGTAAAATTTATTTCCAAAAACAGGCAACTGGCAGCATTTGTCCTGTAATTTTCTTACAGTATTAGCTTAAGTAGAAAATAAAAGAGCATAGAGTAGTAAACACTTAAAAGGTTTTATTTGATTCTTTTGATTTAAGGTGTTGTCCTTCAGTTCTTTGTAGGGGAAGAGGTAGAAGTCATAAAGGCTTAAATAATGTAAGATTAAAGGTAATCTTTGCTGGGTGGGGGGAAGCTTTATCCGAGGGACTTTATTTGTATGTTTTGTTTTTGTTTTTTGAGAACAAATATTAGAGGAAAAATACTATACTTGTTTTTAGGGCTTGTGAAAAGAAAGAGGGAAAGGCCAGACAAAAACAGAAAACTGGAAGATTTGTCCCTGATATACGAAAATCATCAAAAAATAATGCAAGAGAAAACCAAACAGATGTCCTCCAAAGAGCCAGCACTACTTATGACGTTGATTGTTGTCATTTGGGTATGTTTGCTTTTTTTTTTTCTTGTGGTATGGTGGTAAATTCTTACATGAGCTCCACATTTATCTGTTTATATTATATTGAGTTTTTGACTTACACTGCCTTAAATTCTTATCTTTTATACTTGAAAAACTACAGTGCAGTCTGCTCATAGCATTCTGCTTACTTCTTTAAATATTACATTTTAGTTCATCAGAATCAAAAACACTAATAAACATGTCAATGAAAGATGATTGTTCTTTCAGTTTCCTAGACTTAAGTATTTAGGCTAACAACCTACCTTGGACCTATATTACAGATGCCTAAATTTTTATATTAAATTACATTTTTGTTAATAGACAAAACCAGTTTGCTTTCATGGAGGGAATGGCATGTTTTTTTGAATGACCATTGCTATAAAGGTAGCTGGCAGAACTGTTGTGTCAACTTTTTGCCAAAACTATAATCTGCCTCACATCCCACCCTACCTCCTGCTGGAAAAAAGTATGAACATTAACTTACTACTCTTTCTAGATGACAGTTTTGAAAGTGAATTCTTTAATGTGGAAAGGCAGCTTATCTTCTATATAATAATTTATTGATATCTCCATCTTTGTACACATAGAAGTGAAAAATGGTAAGCGCAGTAGGTTGCCAGGAGCCACAGAATTAAACGTGTGCCATGGTAATTGCCAAAATAAACCACCATTAAGTCTCCCAGATGACCAAGTAAATAATACTTTTCAAAATGGAGGAGGAAATGACTTATCTAATCAGGTAAGCTTTTACTGTACACTGTGATAATGTAGAGTAGTGGTGTGATGCTACTGAAAAGGTTCGGGACCAAATCAAAAATTATGAATTCTGTTAAATATCAGCCTTTTGTTCATCTTGACAGTGTCTTGATATTTATTTTCTCTGTGTCTTGTTGGAAAAGTGCAGTCAATAATAGAAAGTTTAGCTCTTAGAGTGAGGCTTAAATAAAGTGTGTGCGTGTGTGTGTGCGCGCGCACTTGACATATCACAGGTATTAAATCAATAAAGGAAATATCTAACATACTGGATATCCACCTGGTGCTTCCAAAAGCTTAAACTCTGGCAAATGTTTCTGAATGCCTCCATTAATTAAATTTGTAGAACTAAAAGTACCTAGATATTTATATGCTTGATACATACTGTGAAAATACTTGAGGTCATGTTTATAGGCAGTAGTTATTAAAATAAAAAGCTGGGGCACCTGGGTGGCTCAGATAGTTAAGCGTCTGCCTTCAGCTCAGGTCATGATCCCAGGGTCCTGGGATTGAGCCCCGCATCGGACTCCCTGCCCTGCGGGGAGTCTGCTTCTTCCCCTCCCTCTGCTTCTCCCCCTGCTCATGCTCTCTCTCTCTCTCTCTCTCTCTCTGTATCTCTGTGTCTCGAATGAATAAATAAAAAAATCTTTAAAAAAATAAAATAAAAAGCTGTCTTTTTGTTTTAAAGGAATTAATTGGAAAGAAAGAATGTGAAAACTTGTCTTCAAAGAAACTTGGAAATTGTGAAAGAACAAATGAAACGATAATTAAAAGTCAGAAGCAAGGTAATATATCTTTATAGGTTTTATATTAAGCAGACAGCTCTTACTTGAAATGTTTTTAATATAATAATAGTACATATTATATTAAATATATAATAAAATTATATTAAATATATAAGTGGTCTCATAAATTTCCAAATCTAAAATGGTAAACCACGTATTTCAATGTTTATAAATGTTGGGGGGGTTTTTTTTTAGAATACCTTTTTCTTTAATTGAAGCATATACAGTGTTATTAGTTTCAGGTGTACAATAGGGTTTTGTTTTTCTATATAACATAATTTGCATAATAAAATAATCTGTTACCTTACATACCATATTTAATTGTAGGTTTGCCTTCCTTAATCTAGATACTAAATAATTTTTATTTATTTATTTTTTAAACTTTTTTTTTCTTAAGTAAACTATACACCCAACATGGGGCTCAAACTGACAACCCCGAGATCAAGAGTCACATGCTGTACCAACTGAGCCAGCCAGGCACCCCTAATTTTTTAATAACAAAACTATACATTATTTTAAATATGCTTTTTGGAATGTTTAAGGTGATATATCTTTATTGGTTTACATTGAAAAGAAATGTTTAAAGACTGAATTTTTTTATGAAATTAATGCCATCATTTAGCTATGTGTGTCGATTTTCAATATGATTTCATTGAAATCCTGCATACCAGAATTTAAAGAGCCTTGTCTCTATACATTAGCAAGTTTAAAATTTCATATTGAGTTAAATCCATCAGCTTAGTAGCATTTTTATTTTATTTCTTTTTTTATTATGTTAATCACCATACATTACATCATTAGTTTTTGATGTAGTGATCCATGATTCATTGTTTGCGTATAACACCCAGTGCTCCATTCAGTACGTGCCCTCTTTAATACCCATCACCAGGCTAACCCATACCCCCTCCCCCCTCCCCTCTAGAACCCTCCGTTTGTTTCTCTCATGGTTCATCTCCCCCTCCCATTTCCCCCCTTCGTTTTTCCCTTCCTGCTATCTTTTTTTTTTTTTAACATATAATATATTATTTGTTTCAGAGGTACAGGTCTGTGATTCAACAGTCTTACACAATTCACAGCTCTCACCATAGCATATACCCTCCCCAGTGTTCATCACCCAGCCACCCCATCTCTCCCACCCCCCACCATTCCAGCAACCCTCAGTTTGTTTAAGTGAAAGGCGGTGAAAGTGAAGAACATTTATTAAGTGTTTAAAGAAGTAGAGAGGAAAAGCAATACTATTTAGACTATCAGGATCATGCAACTTAGGTTAAAGTATCCAGAATAGGATGAATTTTTATTCAGATTAATAAAATGAAGAAAAATATTCAGAATAAAAGTATTTTGTTTAAAATTAGAAAGCTCAAAATTTTCAAATTGCCAGTTGAACATTTGAATCAGATTTATGTGAGGAATTAAAAGAAAACACTTCCCTCAGGAAGACAGATGATTCCATTGAGAAATCTTGTAGAAATTTTCTGGATTACTTTTGATTAGTAACACTTCTCCGTGAATTATAATTTAGTGGCTTCTTTTCTCTCCAGCATCCAACTTTACTCATCAGTCTTTCATTTTATCATTCTTCTTGTAAAATGGTACATAATATGTGTAGGTTGTTGCAGTATTTCACTATGATGATTGGTGTGATGATTTATAATTTGTATATATTATTTATAATTGCAATTGGATAATTTATAATTAGAAGCTAAGTTAGTTTGGCTTCTGGTTTCTTAAGTTGCAAATTGGAGAAGTTCTCTCATTTTAATTTTCTTTCTTTAGTGACACAGTATAATAAAGATTCCCAAGTTCTGGTTTGATTGTTATCCCATGATGCTTCATGGAGTTTGGGCAACTCAGCAAAACTGTGTTTCCATTGCCACCATTAGGGATGATAATGGGGCCACACAATAGAGTTCCTTGTTCCCCTAACTAGGATAGCTTGCATTTCATGTAAGGAATTACATACCTAGTAAGGTTTTAGCAACCCTAGTGGTTTTCTTATGTCACCTAAATATTTTATCTCCAAAGAGTTGATTTAACAAATATTTATTTATCATTTACTGCATATTTGAAAGGCTCTGTACTAACTCCAACAACAAAAACAAAAAAATTCAAAAATGAAGACAAAATTCTTACTATTAAGGATTTTTTTGCAGTCTAGTTCAAAGATAAGACAAGTTTGAGTTTATAATGCAGGGCACGTTGTCAAACATGGTATTATTTAAAAGTAATGGGCGCCTGGGTGGCTCAGTCGTTATGCGTCTGCCTTTGGCTCAGGTCATGATCCCAGGGTTCTGGGATTGAGCCTCGCATCGGGCTCCCTGCTCCGCGGGAAGCCTGCTTCTCCCTCTCCCACGCCCCCTGCTTGTGTTCCCTCTCTGGCTGTCTCTCTGTCAAATAAATAAATAAAATCTTTAAAAAAAAAATAAAAATAAAAGTAATCTGGAAATTTCAAGGAGAACTTCCAGTCAGTTGAGGGAATCAGAACAAAGTGTGTGGATGAGGCAGATTAGAGAATAGAATTAAAGCAAGTAGTGAAGGGCACCTGGGTGGCTCAGTCGTTAAGCATCTGCCTTTGGCTCCGGTCATGATCCCAGGGTCCTGGGATCAAGCCCCGCATTGGGCTCCCAGCTCTGGTATATGTGCTGCCGAAACGAGCACTGGGCTTCTAGCTCTGGGAACCTGCTTCTCCTACTCCCCCTGCTTGTGTTCCCTCTCTGGCTGTCTCTCTCTCTCTGTCAAATAAATAAAATCTTTAAAAATAAATAAATAAAGCAAGTAGTGATTTGGTTTGTGAGTGAAGAAAACTTTCCAAGTAGAATGATATTAGTGAAAGTTGAGAATCAAGAAAATTGGGAAAAATAGTGGTATACTAGGCATAGAATATGGTTCAGATTGAGTACAGTGAGATTAGAACTACATTGAAGGCCAGACAGAGGACTTTTATCTGTACACTAAGTAGACTGTAAGAAGTCATGGACCGGTTGATATAAAAAATATGTTTACAATTGAAGGGGCAGTAATCTGAACAGACTGGTACTTCAGGAAGAGTAATAGTGACAGTAATGTATAGAGTGGAGTCTATGGGGAAAAAATATATTTTAGAAAAAAATTTTGTGCTTTATTGTGTTTGTAGCTAATTTGAGATTTTGATGTTTGGTTTTGTCTTATGAAATTAAAGAGAGAACTGAAGAATCGAATGTATCCATTGACATTCTAACCTCAAGACAACTGTTTTTCTCAGATGAAGAAAGAAAACGTCTGGCTCCTAATCAGAAGGAAGCTTATATTTTAGTGACACCACTTAAGTCTAAAAAAGTGATAGAACAAAAATGCATGAAGTATAATCTGTCCTGTGACACCATTAAAGCAGTAACAGATTTTGCAGTGCCAAAGCATCAAAAAGAAAGTAAATCAGACTTAAATGGAACTGCACATATGATCAGTAAGCCCACAAAGACCTTCCAAAATGCATTTGAGTATAGTGTGGATCATAAAAATAAAAACAAGGAAGATTGCAGTCAATGTGATTTACTCACAGTCAACCAGAAAATCAAAATATCTAGTCCTAAAAAGGACCAAACGGTCACCTCTGACTTTAAGAAAAATACAAGGTTGTTTCCAAAATTGAAGAAAATCAAAAACGCATCTATGTCATTTTATGAGCATCAGTCCTCATCAGATTTGTCTAGTGAAGAGAGCGAAACAGAAAAAGGAATTGGAAAGAAAGCTGAAATTGCTAAGAAAACCAGAGCAAGGAATACCAAAGAAATAGTGGTTCACCCGAGGAAAAGCACAAGAACCACCACAAGGAAAATCCCAGTGATTTCTGAATCTGAAACTGAAGAAAGTGAAAGTGAATTTTATATCAAACAAAAGAAAGCTAGATATTCTGCTAAAGAAAATCTTCAGAAATCTTGTATTAGGAATGAGTCTCCAATTATTGAGGCGATGGGATCTAATGAGACAAATAGGCATTCCTTTGAAAATTTTCCTGGTACAATTCAGGATGAAGAATGGAATGAGAAGGAATTACAGAAACTTCATTGGTAAGTCGTTATATTTGACTCTGAAATATCTAGAGTGGCCACAAAACAGTTGAAGACCTAAAAATTCCAATAAAGAGCTGATATAGTGACCTCTAATCATTAATATGGAAGATATCCAAAAACACGTGGAGAGAAATTTATACAAAGAATGGAGGGAGAATACAGATAACTTCCAACTAGGTACTAGGTACTAACTAGATAACTTTCTACTAGGTACTACAGCTTGCATATAAGCAAAAGAAAAGTTAATCTTCCTTTCCTTCCCATTTAATCTGTCAAGACAGCTACCCTCCCCCTCAAGAAAGGGGTATCTATATGACGGGGTGGATGTGTTATTTAATTTGATTGTGGTTGTCATTTCACACTGAACATGTATATCAAGTGATCCCATGTGCACTTTATACAATTTTGACAATTATACCTCAATTAAGGTAGGGAAAAATATTTTAACAGAGAAATGCTCCTGTCTCAGATCATCATATTTTAAGAAATATTTTATAGTTACATTTACTATTACAAAACCTTAAAGCTGAATTCAGACCTGCAGATTATTTAATATGGTCTTTTCCCCTGCATTTGCAGAGTAGAAATAGCCTCAAAAATTAGGTGACCCATCCAAGGTTTCATGGTCAGTGCCGCTAATAAACCAAGTCTGACAAGAACTGGGTTTAGCTGCATAGACTTGACAAGCAGTTTGAGTAGTGCAGTAGCATTGGAAGCTAGAGCGTACTTGAGCAGTGGGGAGTGAATGAGAGAGTGAAGACAACCTAGGTTGATAACACAAGAAATTGGCAGTGATAGAGAACAAAAAAATGGATAGGGAATAGAAGAGTGTGAAGATAAGGGAAAATGTATGTTTGGTTGCTTATTTGTAAGAGGACTCAGCCAGAGTATGGTGGTGTGCTGATGGGAATGATCTAATAGAAATAAAGGAAGATGTGATTGATAAGAGAATATAGAAACATACCACAATCAGTGAGTCATTTGCTTGAGTGCTCCCTAACCTTAATAACATTTAGAATTGATTTTCAGATCTACCTTGAAACACTTGAAATCGCTGTGCCACTGTGTTTCTTCTCATTCATTTTCCTAAATGTTCCTTCTCTGTCTTATTTTCAGGCAGAGAATTTTCCTTCTCCAAAGTTCTTGGTTTGGCTGATTTCTTGCTGTGATAATGTAGTCTTCAGTGATCTTTTCCTTCCATAGTTCTAACTTTACTCTTTGAACAGGGGTTCCCAGCTCTGTATCCCTAGTCCTGAGTTCTCGTATTTAGATATGTATTTCCCGTGGCTCAGTCGGTTACACGTCTGCTTTTGGTTCAGGTCATGATTCCGGGGTCCTGCTTCTCTCCCTCTGCCCCTCCCCCTACTCATGTTCTCTTTCTCTCTCTCATAAATAAAACCTTTAAAAAAAGATTTGTATTTCCTTTTGCCTATTGGGCATCTTTCCATAAATCTCACTTGCAAGAGATTCTAACTTAATATGTCAAAAACTAAACTTATTTTCCCCTGCCAGTCTACTTGGCCTGACATTCCTGATTCTGAAAATGTAATACTTCCAGTCAACTAGGGTTAAACTTTATCATTATTGATTTTTGTTTTTAAATCAAAGTAGTTCTCAAGGAACTATGGATTTTTCCGTAGGATCACTCCATCTGCACCCTTTCTCTTCACACCACTCTTTTTCAGACTTCTAATGCCTGCCTGAACTATGGAAGTAGCCTTGTATTTACTTTGTTTGCATATGTGTAATCTGTTTTATGTATCTCCAGATTAATTTTAATGTGTAATTGTGCTTCTAACATCAGAAACCTTCCCTGCATTCTTACCAATCTTCAAATTATATAGAGATCCTTCTGCCTTGCATTGACAGCATACAATACTTTTACTTTATCTTTTCCAGCTGTATCTCCCATCATTTTGTTATAGTAAAGGTTTTCAACCTTTACTGTATATCCATATCATCTACGATTATTTTAATGCCTGAAATTAAGATTCTAGTTCCCAATAAGACAAGGAAAGCAAATTCTAGTCTTTTTTTCTGTGCAGCTATGAACAGAATACATGGAACAGCTGTTTGTTGACTCAGGAAATGTAAATAGTAGGGGTGCCTGGGTGGCTCAGTTGTTAAGCGTCTGCCTTTGGCTCAGGTCATGATCCCAGGGTCCTGGGATCGAGTCCCGCATCGCGCTCCCTGCTCAGCCGGGAGCCTGCTTCTCCCTCTCCCACTCCCCCTGCTTGTGTTCCCTCTTGCTGTGTCTCTTTTGGTCAAAATAAATAAATAAAATCTTTAAAAAAAAAAAAAAAAGGAAGGTAAATAGTGGCAGGCGGATTGGGAAAGACCAGAATTTTAAGTGAAATGAAGTGGGGGCATATTTCTAGTTTTCCCTCTGGTGTTCCTTAACCTAGATTAAGGCCACTTAAAACTTAGAAGTGGGCACTGAGGCATGACTAAGAGTTCAAAGAAAAGCCCTCCACTTCTGGCTTGGGGAGAAGGAAAGGAGACGATTAACACTCAGAAACAGTAGAAGTCCCTCAATTTTCTTTCACGTCACAGTCTCCATGTAATCCTGCAAGGGTGAAAATCACAGCAGCATGTGGAGCCCACATGTACCTAAAACTCTGAAAGTAGGAAACCTTCTTCCAATTACATATAGGTCTCAAAAGGGTAGGGCAACTGGAGTGCTTGCATGTCTCAGTTTAAGTGTCTGCCTTCAGCTTAGGTCATGGTCTCAGGGTCCTGGGATCTAGCCCTGTGTCAGGCTCCCACTCAGTGAGGAGTCTGCTTCTCCCTGTCACTCTGCCCCTTCTTCCCACCCCAGCCCCATGCTCTATCTCTCTCAAATAAGTAAAATCTTTAAAAAAAAAAAAAAAAAGGGCAACCTGTGTTTGTGTTGCATTTTTCTTTTTCTGTCCTTTGTGCTTGGCACTGCAGAAAGATACAGCTGTATGAAGTGTACTGCAGAGCTGGGTAACTAAAACCCTAGGTTTCTTCCAGAGAACCCAAAACAGGAACCCTGGGGAACTAAAAATTGCAAAGGGAGGAGGAGCTAGGGAAAGCAACCCTATATAAAGTTGTTGATAAACTTTTGGGCTCACCCCTGAGTTGCACATGTGAGGATTTGATCCTAAATAGCATACCCAAGACTGACAACTGAACTAAGAGGTAGACTGCCACCCAGTTTCTAAGCCAGCCAGCCACTCAGTGTCCCCCACACAGGATTATTTTAATAGCACTGCAAAGCTTTAAAAATAGGACATACTAAAATTACAACCACGAAAGACTGATTGGAATTAATAGCTCAGGTTACAACCAGATTGACTGCCTGCTAAAACAAAAACATAAGCATTCTCCATAGATAAACATGACCAAGAGTTTTATAGTATTTCAAAATGCCTAGGAAATAGTCCAGAATTATTCAGTATATGAAGAAAGAGGAAAATTTTCAACTCAAGAAAAAAAATGCTAATGCTGAGATGATACAGCTGTTGTAATTATCTGACAAGACTGTGAAGCAGGTATATTAAAATGCTCCAGGAGCCTTTCCGAAGAGCTGACAAGGTGGCCGAAGTGGAGCAGAAGAAGCGCACTTTCTGCAAGTTCAGCTACTGCGGCACGGACCTGGACCAGCTGCTGGACAGTCCAGGAGCCCCTGATGCAGCGGTACAGCGCCCAGCAGCAGCGGACGCTGAACCGTGGTTTTTAGAGGAAGCCACACTCACTGCTGGAGCGCCTGCGGAAGGCCAAGAAGGAAGCTCCCCCCATGGCCTAGCACAAGGTGGTTAAGGAGCACCTGCGGGACATGATCATAATGCCCAAGAGGGTGGGCAGCCTGGTGATACCTACAAGGGCAAGACCTTTAACCAGATGGAAATCAAGCCCGAGATGATTGGACGCACCTGGGCCAGTTCTTCACCACCTACAGGATGGTGAAGCACTGCAGGCCGAGCATCCCGGCCACCCACTCCTCCCACTTCATCCCTCTCAAGTAGCTTATTCGGCCAATAAAGGCAGACTTTTAGTCAAAAATTTATTTATCTATTTATTTATTTAGATTTTATTTATTTGACAGAAAGATAGCGAGAGAGGGAACACAAGCAGGGGGAGTGGGAGAGGGAGAAGCAGACTCTCCGCAGAGCAGGGAGCCCGATGCGGGGCTTGATCCCAGGACCCTGGGGTCATGACGGGAGCCGAAGGCAGACACTTAATGACTGATCCACCGAGGCGCCCCTTAGTCAAAAATTTAAAACTCCAGGAACTAAAAGCAAACATTCTTGAAAAGAACAGAAATTTAGAAAATCTCAGAAGACAAAAAGAAGGATCAAATGAAAATTTTAGAACTGGGAAATAGAATAATCAAAAAACTTACTAGATAGGCTCAATAACAGAATGGAAATGAGAAAGGAAGGAGGCAGTCAATATCAGAAATGAAGGAATAACAAGAGAAATGGTAACTGTCTGGATAAATACAACAGACTGTTTTCTTGAGTTCTTTAAAGTGTTTAATGGTTCATAGCAAATGTTACATTTTAAGTTGGAGTTTTGAGTATATGTAAATTTAATACATAAAACAACTACAAGATAAAGAGGAAGGATGAAGGGACTTATGATGGTAAATTTTCTTTTCTACTTGAAGCAGTAAAATATTGATTCTAAGTAGACTATTAAGTACTGTAATAATTCCTAGAGCAACTACTAAGAAACTAGACAGAGGTATTTTCAAATATATAATAGATAAAATACTAAAATTTAACCCAAAAGAAGAAAGAAAAGGAGAAATAGAGAAATAGAAAACAGAACAAAGCAGAAAGCAAATAAAATGGCCTAAATCCAAACGTAATTACATTATGTTAGTGGTCTGAATGTACCATTTAGGACAGAGTGTCAGAATGAATTTAAAAACGTCCCCGCTATAGTGCCATGTAAGAGAACATCAAATGTGAATAGGTAAGTTATAAGTAGAAGGGTAGAAAAATACCATGGAAACTCATAACTGAAGTGGGTGTACTAAAACCTGTCAAAGATTTTAGTACCAAGAAAATTATCAAGGATAAAAGAAATGTCAGTTCACCAGGAAGACAACAATCTTAGATGTATATACACCTAACAAAAAAACCCCTCAAAATACATGAATCAAAATCAGAGAACTAAAAGGAAATGACTGAACTGAAAAGCTAGGTAAAACCACATTTGGAAACTTCAATGCTTTTCTCTTGTAATTGATTGACTAGTAGACAGAAAATTAGCAAGGCTGTAGAAGAACTGAACAACACCATCAACCAACTATCTAATCAACATTTGTAGAACAGTCCACCCAACAATAGGGGAAAAAATACATTCTTTTCCTAGGGTAGGTGGATCATTCACCAGATAGAATGTTGACTAGGTCATAAAAACAACAAATTTAAAATAACAAGTCATGCATAGGGCGTTTGTTCTTGCATCATAGTTGAATTAAACCACAAATCAATAAAAGAAAGCTAACAGGAACATTTCCAAGCAGTCGAAAGTTAAATAACACACTTGTGAATAATCCATGGGTCAAAGAGGAAGAAGTCTTGGGAAAAAAGATACTGAACTGAACAGAAATGAAAATATGTCAAAATTTGTGGTGTGAGCACAGAAGTTCACAAACAGCTTTATGGGGTGGTTTTATAGAGCTCATCTCTGTTGATTTCTGTGGAACTTTCTACATAAATCATGGTATACTGTTAGAATAAATGGACTACTGAGTAATGAAAAGTAAGAACTATTGATATATGTAACAACCTGAATGAATTTCAAAGGCAGTATGCTGAGTGAAAAAAAAAAGCCAGTTCAAAAGGTTACATACTGTATAATTCCATTTCCAGAATTCCATTCTGCAAAGAAAAAACTAAGAAAACAGATCAATGATTGCCAGTGGTTGTAGTGATGGACAACAAAGAGGAAGCACTAGGAATTTTTTCAGTGTAATGGAACTGTTATGTATCCTAATTGTGATCATGGTTATACAAATCTTTATATTCATTAAGATTCATAGAACCATATCCAAAAAGACAATTTTGCTAGTATGATACCTTAAAAAAAATGTTAAGGTGCCCAGACTGCATACTATTAAAATATTTAGATATGACAGGCTTGGGTTTGGGCTCTGCTTTTCTCGTTTTTCTCAAAGCTCTAACCTGCAGCCATGCCTTTGAAATTTACCATACTACAAATATGGACTACTTTCTATTCCCTGATCTCATGTCCTGTCTCCTCATCTTCATTTCTTTGCCAGTACTGTTGGCTAATTTTCACCTGTTATATTTTATCCGTCCTTCATATTTTATTTCACATGTCAGTCACTCCTTCCTATAATCCTTCCTTGTCATCACCTATTCCTGCTACCCCACTTAACTAGATATAATGCTTTCTTAATTAGATATAATACTTAATGCTTCTTGGAACATAAAGCAAATCCAATCCTGACTGCATAGCAGAATGATCACCTGAGGAGCTTTTGAAAAATTCAAAGTGTTGCCACTGCAAAAGTACTAAATTGAAATCTTCAGGGGTAGAGTCTGTGAATCTATTTGCTTGTTTTAATAACTTATTTGCTTGCTTGTACATTTGATGTAAGCTCCTCAAGTGATTCTTAGTTGCAGCCCACTGTTATGTACTCCTCATCATGCTTATAGCCTAGTTAGCAAATAATCACTCTAAGAGGTTTATGAAAATATAACAGGGAAACCTGACTTAGGTTAAGCAGATACTTGAACTAAGATCTGAAGGACAAATAAAAATTATTTAAGCCAAATTTTCATAAGTTCATTTTGAATGAAACAGGAAGAAAGCATATTTAGAAATAGAGAAGGCCAAAATAACCAGAGTACAGAAAATGAGGGCAGAACAGTATAGGATGAGATTAGAGAGACAAGAACAATGTAAAAGTCATATTAAATACTTTGGTTTTTATGCTAGTGAGTTATAAAAGCAAATTGTATTTTTCTCCCTCTGTCACCTATAAATGCAAGTTTTTAGTAGGATTGGAGTGACTTAATTTGCTTTTTAAAATTATCTGGGATAAAGTAGAGATGTGTTAATTACAGACTAATTTCTTATTAAATGCATTAAGTATTTTTATTATGAAAGATATCCTTCTGGCAGTTCTCTACTTGCAAATTAACGATGTACACAAATAGGGAAGCTTAAGCCTCCAAATCCTTTTAGCTCTCCACTTTAGGACACCTGTGGAATGATTGATTATGCAAAAAAGTAGAGACTCATTAGTGTTTAATGCCTGTAAGTATTTGTCTTCCTTTTATGAATGGAGTGAGTGGTATTCTATAGTCAACTCCTACCTGTTCATAAGAGCTGATTCATACAGATTTACAATTAGATAAATTTATTAAGTAATACCCTAAACTCATCATTTCCTGATTATTTTACTACATTTTATTATTATTATCTAGCCTTAAGGTTCTTTACATCAATTGTATCTGTATGGTGGAAATTCTGTGTAATTGTGTCCTATCACACATTTCTTACTCCACATTCAGGGACATCACGTTGGTAGCTTGAAATCAGCCACGACAGAGGTATTTACAATATGGAAATTGGCAAACACTACAAATAAGGGCTTGTTAACCCCAGAGAGCTGGTTTTTAAAATTTACTGGCATAATGTTGCATAGGTTAATTGGTGAGTTACGTAGATCTTTTCTGACTGAACTGTCAGCTTAACCACAATATGTAAAATCTGTTTGAGGGAGAGAAGCAGAAATATGTGTACCAGTTTCTAAATATTTACAAATAAACTTTCAGAATATAACTCGTTTATTAACTTGGGTGACTACCTTATAGTGAGTAACAGTTTTTTCCTCTTTCAATTTTCATTTCCCTCAATTATCATATGTAAAATATTGCATTCTGTAAATTTTGATAGAATGAGAGCAAGAATAATACTTTTTAATAAGAATTTTAACTAAGAGCTCATTTTCCAATATAGTTAGCACTGGTAAGATTTGAGCAACAGTGTTGAAATGTTAGTCATGCTAGAGTCCCCCAGAAGATCAAATCACTGATAGTTGGACTTAGGAAAAAGATGTTGAAAGACCTGAGATGAATTTCAGGTTTCATAGAATACAACAAAATAGAAGATACCTACCAGATATGTAAAATTACATCTTCATATTTTAAGCACTCAAGTAAGTTACTGTGAATGGAAGGAATAGTATCTTCTTCCCAGTTATCTAGAATGATTTTGGTTAAAATTCCTTTAGCTCAATAAATCTCATTGATTTAGTGGTATGCATTCAGGAGGTTGTTTTTATTGATTTGAATTTCTTGTTCTTTAACTGGTTTTGGTCCTCCATAGTGCTTTTGCATCTCTTCCAAAGCACAAACCTGGTTTCTGGTCAGATGTAGCTATGGCTGTAGGTTCTCGATCTGCTGAAGAATGCCAGAGGAAATACACGGAAGATCCCAGAGAAAAAGGATCTCAGAAACCTGTCACTAAGAAAAAAACAGTCAATCCCAAAGGCCAAAATGGTAACCTTTGTAAATTGTTTTTGCCTAGTTCTCAATATTGATTTCTAATCACTCACTAGATATATTTATCCATGTATCATTGTCTTATAGATGTTTTCTCCAAATTTTCAAGCTAGAAAGAATTCTGAAGATCATCTGTTTAATTTTTTAGTCTTATCTAGATAGTTAATTCCATCAATAGTAGCCTTAGCAGCCTTGTGCTTTGAATTTGTTCTAGGAAATTTGCAGTTAGATCTAAAGGTTTCAGTATCTGGATTATTCTAAGAGTCTAATTTAATTTGAGGCCACTTGGGTAGAAATTCATAATAAAATTCAGAATAAGTTTAGTTTTCATATTCCCCAGGAATACACATGCCTGCTCAGGGTTTATGACAGAGCTTATACTAACCTTTGGGACTACCCTGTCCCTGTCCTAATTCGTTTATATTTTTACAAAATCAATAAATTAGGCATTCAGCAAGGGGAATGTACGAGGTAACCTTTCTCCTACTGGGTAAAGACCTTTTCTGCCTCACCCTGGCTATCTTATGTAGTTTCTTCATGAGTATCTTGTGGGCTAATTATATTGCATAGATCCCAGTACAGAAAGAATCTTTTGTTATATAGGAGACTTACTAATAGAGGATGAGTTTACTTAATATAAATATATAATTTAGATTTTACAAAGTCTGTTAACTTTAGAGCAGTTACTATAAATGACCAAATCCTTATGAAATGTTTTGCTGACTCCTAAGGCAAGATAGGTGATGCTGATAAGAAGCAAATTATTAAGATAACGGCCAAAGTGGGAACTCTTAAAAGGAAGCAGCAAATGAGGGATTTTCTGGAACAGTTGCCAAAAGATGATCATGATGATTTTTTCAGTACAACACCTTTGCAGAATCAAAGAATACTGGTAAGAGTCTTAAGTGCATGAAATCATTGCTTTCTTTATATTGACTTTTACATCTTTCATTTTTACGTATTGTTAGTGTTCATCCGTAATATTTAGGCCAAGGATTGATAGTTCCACAGACATGACCCAAAGTATAGTATAGGAAGCAGTCTGCCAGTATGTGCTTTTCTCATCAGTGTCCAGAGTCTACCCGTCAGTGAGTTCCAAAGGTAATGGGTGTAAAGCCAAATTGAAAACCCAGAAATGTTTAAATAGGCTAAATGTATATATTTAAAATTTCGTATGCAATGAGGGAAACTTACAAAGTTATTACCTACTGTATAGTAAATTCAGTGGAGGGATTTAATGGCAGCACAAAGTTGACATTTGAATGTATAAAAGAATTTTTGTAGTATGAAAAATCATATAACTAAAAACTTCAGTGATTGGGAAAAAATATTTACAACAAACAAAGCCAATGTTTATAATATGAAGAAGTAATTCAGATGTTACTAGAATTAATAAAATTTGTCAAGGAGTGCCTGGGTGGCTTAGTCAGTTAAGCATCTGACTTTGGCTCAGGTCATGATCCCAGGGTCCTGGGATCGAGCCCCGTGTCAGGCTCCCTGCTCAGTGAGGCGTCTGCTTCTCCCTCTCCCTCTGCCCCTTCCCCCGCTCATGCTCATTGGCTCTCTCTCAAATAAATAAAATCTTTAAAAAAAATTGTCAAGATTGCAGGGAAAAAGTGGGCAAGAAAAAAATTCAGAAGACTCAGTGAATACTTGGGGAGGTGGTTATATTAGCTGACAATCAAAGGAAAACTAAGTAAACCATATGTATATATTCTAAGTTACAGAATCTTTTGTAAAAATAAGTGAAAATATCCACTAACAAAAGCAGTGGAGATACTGATGTAGCCATACATGAGTGGATGTAAAATGAATCATACATTTTGGAAAGCATCATGGCCATGTTCAAGATCCATTAGATTAATTGTATTCATTGGAATTTATCCTAAGAAATTCAAAAGAAGCCAAAAATCTTTTTTTTTTTTTTTAAGATTTTATTTGAGAGAGCGAGAGCACAGAGGGAGCGTGAGAGGGAGAGCCAGACTCCACACTGAGCAGAGAGCCCAATGCAGGGCTCCATCCCAGGACCCTGAGATCATGACCTAAGCCGAAGGCAGACGCTCAATTGACTAAGCCACCCAGGTGCCCGAAGCCAAAAATCTTGACAGAGCTATTCATTGCAGGTTTATCTTTACAGCAGCAAACTGGAAGCAATGTATATATCCAATAAGGATGTTCTTCATAAACAGTCAAATACAATATAAATATTAATTGCAAACTTCAGACTATTTCTAGAATATAAATGTATATTAAGATTAATGCAAAAATGGATAGATACAACTGATAGAAGTGTAAAAATTCAGAGTTGTTTTAGTGAGCTAAACTTCGGGGGTAATTTTTTTATTTACTTCTTTCTTAATATTGATACATCATCTCCAATATTAAAAGGCTACACAGTGCTTTAAGAATTTAGTAACATCATTATCTGGGGTCTTTCAGCCTATGTAATTATTTATTGCATGAGATAATAAAGGGAGGTATTTTAAGGACCATCTGAGGCTCTTACCATGTTCCCTGCATAACAACCATGGTCCTTTAGGGGTTATATCCTTTATATAATTCTGCCATCACTTCAGGTTTCTGTAAGGTTTTAATGTAAAGGAAGGTAAAATCTTAATGAAGGATTGAACTGTTTATTGGAAATGTATATACAGAAAAGTTTAGTATTGCTTGAGTTCCTATTAAGTGCCAAGCATAATAATCAATGAATGAGTTCTGTTTTGTTCTGTTTACAGAGGTAAGCAAACCATGACCCATGGGTCACATCTGGCAGGCCACATTTTTTAGAAACAAAATTTTATTGGAACACAGACATGTTCATTGTTTATTAGCTATGTCTGCTTTCATGCTACAACAGCAGAGTTGATTGAATATTTGGGACAGAGACTGTATGGACCACAAGGCCTAAAATAAATACTATCTGACACTTTATAGAAAACATTTGGTGACCCCTGGTCTTTTCACAACTTTTAGAAATAGGCGTCATTGTCTCTGTTTAACACAATAGAACCAAAATTTTTTAAAGGCCAAGGCTCTGTTCTGTAACCACTAATATGTTTAGTTATCTCAGCTGGAAAATTATAAGGAGGAAAACAACTTATTAGCCTACCCAAAAACATTTAGTGATAATGAGAAATTCCATTTTTAGGGTTGTCTGCTGGCTGGTAATAAATATTTGTTTTCTAGTTGCCAAGTCTCCAGGACAGTGCAGAAGAGGATGATATTCTGCCAAGTATGGACAAAAATCCAACAACTCCATCATCAGTTGTCTTTCCATTGGCAAAAACTCCTCAGTGTCAGCATGTCAGTCCTGGCATGCTAGCCTCTATAAATAGGTAAATATGCATATGATACTATAATTCTCTGCATCAGCATTTAACATTTCATGAGTTGGGTAGTAGATGTCAATAATGAGAAGAGTTATTTAAAAAAAATTAAGAAAGCATAGCTCCTAGAAGTCAAGGATGAACAAGTAGGGATATTGTTCAGTAGTGTAAGGACACAGCTCACACTTTACATCAGGATAAATTCCAAATGGATCAAAGCTTTGCATAACAAATTATACTATAAAATATACCTAAAGAAACCTTGGAGGATTATTTGATAATCATCGATTAGTGAAAGTCTTTTCAAACTATGATGCAAGACTCAGAAGACACTAACAAAAAGAATCGTAAAGTCAACCAGATAAGAGTTTTACCCTGTACCAACTACCATAAGCAATCAAAAGATAAACAGTGATCTGACAAAAGAAAATATGGAACTCATCAGAGGAAAAGGCTAATTTTCCTAATGCAGCATTCCTACAAATTAAGAGGAATGGAAGGCCATTCTCATGCATTACTAGTGAGAAGGTAAATTAGTACAGTTTCTGCAAGCAGCAATTTTTCAATATCTGTCAAAATTGTAAGTACACATGCTCTTTGACCTATCAGTCCTGCTTCTCAAATAGTGACTGCACAGCTTATTAAAGTATTGTGTATAATAGCAAAAGACTGGAAGCAACTCAAATGCTAATCAAATTCTGGTACCTAATGTAGCCATAGAAATTAATTCTTTATGTACTATTATGGTAAAATGTTCAAGATATATTAAGTGAAAAAGTTAGATGCAGTGAATTATTTGTGTAAATAGGGGCTGTGTGTGTACTTGTATATGTTATCCGTGCATATATATGTGCATATATATGTAATTGCTTTTCTTTGATTAAATATATCTGAAAGAATACATAAGAAACTGAAAACATTAGTGATCCCTACAAAAAGGAACTAAGGTCACTTGGAGATGAGAATAAGAGGGAAACTTTTTGAATTTTGAACTATGTGAATATAGGAACTACTTGAAATATGAATAAAATTAAGAAAAATCAGGGGTGACCAGCAATTGAATGACACAGAGAAAAGATGTAAAGTAATAAATATGAGGCCTGAAAATAAGCCATTCCATTTGGCAATCAAGCAGGACAATGCTGATTTTATGAAGAGTAATTACCATGGGTGTGAGGCAGAGGTCAGATAATAACACCTGAGAAAAAAATTATTCAGTCCTCTCCTGAAGCTTAGTGAAATTTTAATTTGCATTTATTTGGTAAAAACATCATTTTTCCCCAGCAATCCACAAGATATTTTTTGTTTTTGATTTAGTATTCATTGCAGGTGAAAGTATATTGAGAGTATAATTTTGGACAAAGTTTTTGGTAAGCACTTTGGCCAAATCATCAAAAGCTTTAAAATATTCATCCATTTGGCCCTTGAACTTTGTTCGTCAGTTATAAGGAAATAGATTTGGGCAAGTATGTATGTACAAAGATGTTCATCCTGAAACATAATACTGAAATGACCTAAATGTCCAATAAAGTTAAGAAGTTAGATTTGTCCATATAACAGAGTAATATGTAACAATTAAAAATCATGACTTCCAGAATTTTTAACAACAAAGAATGTTCAGTTTACAATAGATTTTAAAAGCTAAGAAATTAAATTATAAACAATATTCCAATTAACATAACATGTATTCAGAAAGGAAATTTCTTGACTAAAAACATCACCAGCCATTATCCTCTAGGCTGTAGAATTACACTGAAGTGAGTTTTGGTGTTTTGTTTTGTTTTTTATATCACTTTTACAATGATGGAAATACATCTTTTTTTTTTTCCCCTAATAGAACACATGGTGGACTCATTTGTATCATGAATATATTTCCTAAAACTTTTAAAAAATGAGTTTCCTAGGCCTCTATACTATCTTGACTCACCAGCTCTAATAATTGGCTTCCTTTTTATTTTAAATAATGAAACAGTTTTATCATTTCAGAAGTGATTTTTTTCGTACGGGACAACAGACTCATGAGGTGCTGACCCTGAACAGCTGGCCCAACTTATTGACTAGGTCTGCAGCAGTGTGTGTGGTTCACATTAATATCTTAATACAGTCACACATTTAGAAATTTCTACATGTCAGCTTTAAGGTTGCTTCCAAATTATCATAAAGTAAAGGATAATTGATCATAAAGGATCTTGAAGCCAAGAGAGAATTAGAATTGGTGCTCAGCTGGTATTTACTGTCATAAGCAGGATTAGGAACTGTAGGGGAAATGGGAACAGCCGTTCTGTTTGGCTTCAATTTGTGTCTGTAAGTTGAGCCAAGCCTATTTGCTAAGAATGAGAGGGGGGACAATAAGCTAAAAAGAAATGACTCAGCGGTTAGCTGGAAGCTGTAAATTAATTGAGGGTTTTCATCACCAGGTGTATCCTTAAAGTGGTTAACTGTGAGATTCAGTCTGGATAGGGAAGGAAGTGAACAGTAGAAAGGAGTGAGAGGTCCATAAAGGGACAAGAAGTCTCAGTGAATTTTGGAAGAGAGGCAGCAAGATAGTGATTGGAAAGAGCACAAATGGGACAATGAACAATAAGGAAAACCGTAATTTCCTAGAATATTCTTATTCAGTGTTTCCTTTAAAATGTTAGGTTGAAGCATTTTGTCCATCAGTACACCATTGTCTCTTTAAAAATGGAAAAGACAAATATACTTTTGTTCTTGTTTTTAAGTTTGTTTAAATTCTAGTTAACATTACAGACTAATAATAGTTTCAGGTGTACAATACAGTGATTCAGCACTTCCATACAACACCCAGTGCTTACCAGAAGTTTGCTCCTTAATCCCCATCACCCATTTAGCCCATCTGCCCCATCCACCTCCCTCTGGTAACCATCAGTTTGTTCTCTACAGTTAAGAGTCTGTTTCCTGGTTTGCCTCTTCTTTTTCCCCCTCATGTTGATCTGTTTTGTTTCCTAAATTCCACATATGAGTGAAATCATATGGTATTTGTCTTTCTCTGACTTATTTTGCTTAACATACTTTCCAGCTCCATCCATGTGTATAGCAAATGGAGAGATTTCAATCTTTTTTATGGCTGAGTAATGTTCTATTGTACACACACACACACACACACACACACACACACACACACACACATCTTCTTTATTCATCAATTGATGGATACTTGGGCTGTTTCCATAATTAGGCTGTTGTAGATAATGTTGCTCTAAACATTGAAGTGCAATATCCCCTTGAATTAGTATTTTTGTATTCTTTGGGTAAATACCCAGTAGTGCCATTGCTGGATTGTAGGGTAGCTCTATTTTTAACTTTTTTTTTTTTTAAAGATATTATTAATTTATTTGACAGAGGGAGAGAGGAAATAAAAGCAGAGGGAGTGGGAGAGGGAGAAGCAGGCTTCCCTCTGAGCAGGGAGCGTGATGCAGGGCTTGATCCCAGGACCCTGGGATCATGACCCGAGCTGAGGGCAGATGCTTAATGGCTGAGCCACCCAGGCACACCTCTATTACTAAGTTCTTGTGGAACCTCCATATTGTTTTCCACAGTGGCCGCACCAGTTTGCATTCCCACCAACAGTGCACGAAGGTTCCCCTTTCTTCACATCCCCACCAACACCTATTGTTTGTGTTGATTTTAGCCATTCTGACAGGTGTGAGGTGATATCTCATGTACTTTTGATTTGTATTTCCCTGACAGTCATGTTGAGCTTCTTTTCATGTGTTTGTTGGCCACCTGGATGTCTTTGAGGAACTGTCTATTCATGTCTTCTGCCTGTTTTTTAATTGGATTATTTCTTTTTTGGGTGTTGAGTTGTATAAGTTCTTTATCTATTTTGGATACTAACCCTTTATCAGTTATGTCATTTGCAAATATCTTCTCCCATTCCATAGGTTGCCTTTTAATTTTGTTGATTGTTTTCTTCCCTGTGCAGAAGCTGTTTATTTTGATGTAGTCCCAACAGTTTATTTTTGTTTTTTATTCCCAAATATATATATATATATATACTTCACAGAAAGTATACTTTTTCCTAGAAAACATACTTTTTAAAGATAAAACATATTTTAAATTAATTTTGTCAGTTGCTATTCAAGCTGTGGATAGAAGTATGGTAGTTAATTCTGACCTAAAATTTTGTATTCAAACAGGAATGATTGTGATAAATATGTTTTTCGTATGCAAAAAAACCATAAAAGTAAAGGTGGCATTGTCTGGGGCAATATCAAGAAAAAAACAGTAAGTTTATTTATTCTTCATTTATTCATCACATCTATTGAACAACTATAATATATGGCAAATTTTGGAAGTTATAAGTTATGTAAAAGTTCTTGCCCTAAAAGTAAATAGTTAATCTTAGAAAATAATAATTTATGGAGGTACGGTGGAGGACCACCTTATCTCCTGATTGTATATTCCTTCTGACCAGATTATGGCAATCTCTTCCTCCCTCACCCATGCTGAAATATTTATATTGCACACTTGCTAGAGTATAATTCTTCTCAGAGAGTTTCTAAACTAAACATTGGGATTAATAATCACATCCAATCTCTGTGGGTTTCATTTATCCACAGGAAATGGCAGATACTTAAAATCAGCCTGGAGACTAAATTGAGTATATATAAATATATATATGAGTAAATATGGGTAATGAGTAAATATAAATGAAATGAGTAAATATAAAAGAAATCTCCAAAATTGAGGGTGTAGACAGACTCAGTGATTCTTAGCTTCCCTTTCTCCAGTCCCACATTTCTGGGACTGGAGAATGAAATTTTGGTTTGTTGCAAAGGACCTGGAATCAACATAGTGAGAAAGACTTCGTTGGCTTCTAGTCTCTATTTTGCCAGTGAAAAGTTGGGTTGTTTTGACAATTGTTTCACAAACTTGAATGTGGATAGGAGTCACCTAGGGATCTTGTTAAACAGATTCTGATGCAGTAGATTTGAGATTTCTGCATTTTTAACAGGCTTCAGGTGGTAATGCCTATGTTGCTGTCCATGGACCATACTGAGTAGTAGCAAGATCCTAATCCACTCAAGTCTGTTCTCTGCACAGTGATGAAAAGTTCATATGGATATAGATCCATAAGGACCCTTCCTATTAAGAATTTTTATTTCTTTGTATTTCAGACATCATCCTAACCACTACTGGACTTCTGTTTTTCTTAATGGGTCATAATGCCGCAGCAGTCTACCAAACTATAATATCCTTGTGATTTAGTCCTATTTTTTTCATAGACTAATATTTTGTAGCTAATGTGTGAGGACAGAAAGAGCAAAGGATTTAGTGTTAAAAATTCTGATTTCAAGACCTGACTCCCCATACCAGCTTTATAATAAGACAAGCTATTTGGGCTTTCTAATCTCATTTTATTCATGTATGGTTATCGCTGACATGGGAATCATGATACTGGTTTGATGCCGCTGAATGATTTTGAGAGCTAAATGATAGAACAGTGTTTTTGACTCACTTCACAAGAAAAAATACATTTATGTCACAACCTGAACATGAGTTTGTATCTCAAAAGTTTGAACTATATTTACCCTTAGTACAGTGGATACACCCTGTCATATTTTCTATTCTGTTCCTTTTCATTTTTTAAAGATAGCCGGCCAGGGCCAAAAGTTTAAAAATCATTGATGTAGTAAGTATATATTATACACTTAAAATTTGTCATATAAATTACCATTTTAGGCAAGAATTTAAATTGTGCTAGTGTAATGGACTGGAGTGAGTAGATTTTGGCAACTGTCAGAGGCCCAGACTATCCTTTCACCTCTGCAGCATTAGTTTGTAATATTTTCTTACAGTCACGTTTTCCAGCAATGGGAAACAACATTGAATAAGTGCTCTTGCCCTAGATAAATTCAATTTAAAAGAGAATCAGACATTTCACAGATAATTATAATGTGATTAGGTATCGCTATAGGCATGTGTTCAGGATACTTGGGATGAAGCATGCTTCTTTTGTCTATGTTTGAGGCAGAATTCACAGGAGGTACTATTTAGCTATTAACATGAACTTTCTTGCAGGTTGAAACTGATTTTTCAATTCCAACATCAAGAAAAAAAACCCTGTTTAACAAAGGTAATTTTTCTTTTGTAGCTTAATCTAATGTAAGATAGTATCTTATTAACATGGTACTAAAATTAACTGCTCTCAAATGGGCAGACCTACTATTCAGTTTCTCAGTTCTTTTTAATTTCATTGAAATTACTTTTAGAAGTATATTAATCTTTTTTTATTAAACTTCTCTTTACAGAATTAGGAGAAAACTCTGGTATTGGAAAACTTTTCACTAATGCTATGGAGTCTTTAGATGAAGAAGAGAAAGATGATTATTTTTCAAACTCGGATTCTACATAGTAAAAATGAGAAAATATTCCCAGGATTTTTATTAGGAAGCAGATTTTTGTATCTTCTTTTGGAATACACATATTTTCCTTAAAATGTACCTTCATATGAAATGGTGGATTCCTTCTCAAAGGTTTTAGGAGTTTGTATTCAAAGTAAAACATCCTTCTGTAAATATTCCTCATTGCTGCAGCTTACTAAAATATAAGGAAAATTGTTTTGCTTGTATAGATATTTGTAAATTTCTGGGTTTTGCAATATTAAAATATTCTAGATAAGTCTCTCTTAAGCATCCAAGTCTGTTTACTTTAAGAAAATCATGTTCCAAACAGATTTTTTTAAAAGCTTCCAAAAAAATGTTGCTACCCTTAAGGGATAGGGGAGGGAGAATGAAAAGTAGATTGTTACTGCTGGCTACTGAATTCATGAAAACGTTAAGTTAGCATTTGTTACCACTTGGTATACAAGCCAGAATTGATCTTATGTTTAAATTACATGTTGTTGAAACTATCTGACACTCTTTCTCCTGATTTTTTTCTTAAAATTTGTGATTGGCATATCTATGAAACCTATATAAATTTATTGCTTTTTCAGTATTTTATTAGGTAGAATCAGAGAACAAATTTTGTTGCATTACACCATATTTACATATGCAGACACAGTTTACATTTGGTCTCACTATAAAGACTGGATTAGACAAACATTCAAGTAGTTGATCTACCCATTGTAAGGAGTCAAGTTAATATGCCCTGTCACGGTAAACATTTTCCTTTCAGATAGCTCCTTTAGAAATAAACCTTTTTTTAGCTTATTCTGCCACTCTGTTTTGAAATTTGACATAGAATGTTTTTCCTGTGGTTATAGTATATATCAACTTACCCTTTCTCTCCAGTTAGACTGTTCAAATAAACTTGGTTTGCTTTTATAATATTTCTATTTTGGTTCTTGTTGTTTGATTACTGGATCATAGAAAGTAAATATGTACTTTGTTACCGGTTCAGCCTGTTGCCTCAAAAAATATCAGAACTTTTAGTAAAAAATACATTTTTCTTAAGAATTTAGTCAATAATAATCAGCAGTTATATAACTATAGAATTTATGGAAACACAAGATTTAAAAAGAATATTGATGAGGGCGCCTGGGTGGCTCCGTTGGTTAAGCGACTGCCTTCGGCTCAGGTCATGATACTGGGGTCCCAGGATCGAGTCCCGCATCGGGCTCCCTGCTCCGGGGGGGAGTCTGCTGCTCCCTCTAACCCTCTTCCCTCTCGTGCTTTCTATCTCTCATTCTCTCTCTCTCTCAGATAAATAAAATCTTTAAAAAAAAAATCTTAAAAAAAAGAATATTGATGAGATATTAGACTGAGTTCATAATTGTTCCCACCACAAAGATTTTAGACATAGGATGAAACAAATGAAGGGATTCTTGTAGAGTGAAATACTGTTTTATAACTTAAGTTGCCAATATTTGGTATAATACCATGCTGTTTAATGTTAATGGATAGTGTTTTTAAGGAGTTAGAAGGTACTTAAATTCCATAATGGGAAACAAAAAGATAATTTTGATATTGCACAGACAACACCAAAAACTGTGGCCTCCCCCCTCCCCCACCCCCATATTCCCTGTGTCCTGTTGGAACTCCTAGTCTACTTTAATTGTATCCCACCTGCCAGGTACCTGCTTAATACCATTTCTTTCCATCAGGTCATAAGATAAGCTAGTACGGTTTAAAGTAACCTCCAGAGGAGTCTTAAAAGTGGGCTCAAAGATGGATTAATAATCAATAGGGCTGTTAAGTGCTACCAATGAGAATATAAAGAAGGCTACTGCAGCTTAAATATGGATACAGCTCTATACACAGAAGCATAAATAAATGAAATCCTCTAGGTCAAGTCCCTCACACCATGTTAATTTATAAAATATTCTGTCTGGTGGTTGGACACCAAGAATTGGAGCACATTGGTCTCTGCATGGGAGATGCTGCAAGGGGGTCATCAGCCCAGGTCAATGTGAAGTTAAGGAACTGCATGCTTCTGGCACCCAGCTAGGGACCAGATGTCCCCACCCACATGCATCGCTGACACCACGTAAGCAAAAAGCAGCAGAACAGCACACGAACCAGAAAGAAGCCCCTTTCTTCCTTCTACTGACGAAGCTTAAATCATGCCCACTGTAGGGAGAAATGTTCCAAAAATCCAGTCCATTATAGCAAAGCAAGATACTAAAGGGTAAATTTGAGCCGGAGAGAGAAATAAATCGATAACTGCACATGAGCCAATACTTCTCTCTGACTTTGACAGAATTATTGAACAGCAGAACTATGAAATCTGCTCTCAGAAGAATTAAGAATTTATACTACCACAAAGAAGCTAAGTTCACAATTAAGAGTAATTTTTAGTGAAAAAAACTATCTGGTTCCTGGATTCTGGTTCTAGATTTCCCAGTAAACTTGAATAAGTCACTTGTTTGTGGGCCTCACTTCTCTATCTGATGAGAAAAGAGAAAAGCAATTTGAATTAGATGAACTCCGAAGTCCCTGCCTGGTGTAAGGCAAGGAGAACTCTACTGTGAGCTTGGTTCAACTACCCTGCAGTGAATAAAGGACTCTAAATGGGGGTTGGGGGGGATCAATAGTTAAAGGCTGCATTAAGCACTAGACTGACTAGGAGGGCCTTAGATGTTGCAGATGGAGACATGTGGTAACATGGAGACATCTTAAAATAGTAATAGCATCACAGACACACTGTTATGGGCACAATGAAGTCCACATTCAACAGCTTATCTATACTAACCAATTTTTCAAGTCTAAGCCAGTATTCCACTTCTTTGAATATTTCAACAACAAAAAAAGCAGTGTAGGTTGGAGTTCATACTAGCAGGATTTGACTATACTTGATTGGGACACTTCTGGTAAGATAATCATACTCTGTTAAATTTTCATCTCTCCTAGTAACTCATGATACACGTACCATTCACATCTTATACAATATGTATGTAGACTCAGGACATTTAAAATATTCTAGATGATACTATCGTTTATATATAGGAAAATTACTTATGACCATTAAGTTGGCAGCAGTCAGACACCTCAAACTATTATGCTAACAAATGGCAAGTACAGTACTATAATCTCTGGAAAATTTCTAAAATACATCTCTAACTCGAGCCTTTACCTTTTTTTTTTTTAAGATTTTATTTATTTATTTCAGAGAGAGAATGAGAGATAGAAAGCACAAGAGGGAAGAGGGTCAGAGGGAGAAGCAGACTCCCCGCTGAGCAGGAAGCCTGATGTGGGACTCGATCCCGGGACTCCAGGATTATACCTGAGCTGAAGGCAGTCGCTTAACCAACTGAGCCACCGAGGCGCCCAAAGCCTTTACCTTCTTAATAGCACCTTCAGTAAACCTTTTTTTATTCAATAAATAAGTTTCATAATCTAGTTATTAATCAAAATGATTACTGAACATCAGGTTTTCTTTTAAAATAATTTATAATCTATATAAATATAAATGTACACAGTATAAAACAGGAAAATATTCTTTTACATATTTTAAGCTGATCATAACAAACCACAGGAGTGATCACTGAAGTACAATTAGTATTGCCAGAGTTCTTTCATCGCACCTGAGCAGTATAATCATGCATCAGACTGTAGTCTACCTTGGTTAAGACCATCTGGTAACATCTGCATGTCAAAAACATAGTGAATGTATCTATATATTTCCTCAGCCTTCTGATGAGTTACTCGTGCATATATGGAGATTTCTTGAGGTGAGCTGAAAAATAAATTAGTAGAAATTTTGACTTATACAATTTAATATTCTTACTTGCTTAAAGACTACCAAATGTAAAAGAGTTAATGTCCTTAGCATGAGTTTAAATAAAACATTCTCTATATTTAAAGTCATATATAATAATAATTTCAATATCTTACACTGGTTATTTTAATTAAAATAACCTATTTTCTGAAATCTTTTCAAGCAATAGACAAAAACTAGTAAAATTTGCACTGTCACATTTGTCTAGTTCCAGAACTAAACAGCCCAGGAATGTTAGAATGCAAGCTCAAATATAAGAGCTGTCTGTCTAGCTCCCAGAAGACTTTAAGCTCCCTAAAGGCAGTGCCTATTTTTACCCCCCATTAAGATCTTCACCTTCATGCAGTGGCTGTAACATACCGGCAAGCAAAAAGTCTTTACTGAATGAGATAATCTTAATAGGTTCTATACATCTTTATTTTTAAAAAAATATTAAAATTTCTATGAAAGACTTAGAATCATTTAAAACCATCTAAAAATATTAAAACAGACATACCTGTTAGTCATCTTTTTCACAGAAGAAAACCGGTGACACATATTTAATGCAGTTATATAACTTACATTGGGAATACTTAGATAAAACTGAAGTGCCTCACATTTACTTCTGTTCACCACTGTTGGAACATGAATACCAACATTCTTTCTTTGCTCTACTAAAGACAGTTCCTTTAGCAAATCTGCAGTTTCTTCTTGGCAGGAACTGAAAAGAATTCGGATTCCAGCACCAATTAAGGTAGTCAGCAAGTTGTCATAGCTCTTTGTTCTCCTAAACATCCTGGATGTGTCTCCTAAATATTTCACATTTAGGAAAATGCAAACCTTAGTAACTTACATTAAGTAGAATTATTAATACTATATATTATTAAAATCCCAAGATTTACAACCATTAAGCAAACTAGTGCCACGTTATGCTAACGAGAAAGCCTCAACTAAAGATTTAAAGTGATGTCTCAAGTATCTGGGAGATAAAATAGGAAAAATTATCTTTATGAGTGTCTTCAATTGGCATTAAACAGGAAGATGAGTCGGCAGGAGAGAGCTTATATTCCTAGCTAATTCATTCCTGAAGACCAAGACCATATTACTTATCTCTCAAATTCTTTATAATGCTAGCACTGATGAATAGCTCAAGTATTGGCTTAACTGATATAAAATCTTATATATTTATTCCAAGAGGAACTCAAAACACTGCACACCCATTTTAATGTCATCTTTAATTCTTGCCTATTACTTCCCTAACCTTTCCCATTCATTTCTTTTCATATTCTATCCTCCATTCTTTTGGAGGCACTTTTCATTATGGAAAAACAAAACTTTTTCCATAACTTTTTTTTTCCTGTAACTTTTGCCATGTTACTTTCCTTTTATTCTAAATCTATATCCTTTATATAAAGGATATGTTGGTAAAGAGGAAATTATAGAATTTTAGCATTAAAAGGACCCAAGAGATCACTTAATCTGAAATCCTCACTTGTGGGGGGGAGGGGAGAAAGAAAAAAAAAAAGAAACTTGGCTACTGAAAGAGTGACTTATCCAAGGCCGCACAGTTTACCAGTGACAGCATGAGGGTAAAAAGGTACAATGCTCAATTACCAACCCAATATTTTATATAAACTACATTATTTCCTTTTCCTATATACTGTGTGACTGCATAATTCTTGAATTCTTCCATACTGGCTTCTGCCTGCATGATTTCACTTAGTCTTCATAATATCACAAGATGAGTAAGACAAGTATATTATTAAGCCCTCAGAGGGAGTGATTTGTCAATGCAACGTCACATAGCTATTGTGACACCAGAATTCAGTGCAGTCTTCTGATTCCATATTCCATGACCTTTTCTATCATTCTCAGGGCTCCCCCTACAATTAAATATCACCCAAAGAAACTCCCTAATTGAAGCTCCTATGCACCCATTTCAGCTCCCTAATAAGAACTCCCGAATATTCAACTGAACACCCCTTATGTCTCAAATCTGCTCTTCTCTGATATTCATAATTTCAGTAAAAAGCACCACTACCTAACTAGCTGTCCAGTGAAAGAAATCAGTCTGATGGATTACAGTAATTCTTGCCTCCTTCCACCAACTACTGCTAATCCTGTGTCCTAATT